ATTAAATACGCAACTTTGAATAATGTCAATCTAGAAAACATCTGCCTCCACTTATTAAAACACTAAGTTAACTGTTGCTTTTTTTTTTCCTTTTGGTTGGCATTAAATCTTAGTTGGAGGGAGAATTTAAAAAAGTAAAGTGGTGGTTGGGTTTAGGACTGTATTTATTAGTCAGTTAACCTAGGATTGGTTTTATTTTTTTCAATTGGTCTAAAGAATGGTGATTTTGGTATTATAGTCTTACCCTACAAAATCCTTTTGCAGACCAAGTTTTACAGGAAAACTCCAGTGATTTTCAATCAAACATTGCATAGGTAAATATTTTCTCAAAAAATATAATTTAAATTCCCACTAGCAAATACTGATATGTTGTGCTAATACTATTTTTATAGCAGTCAATGGCTCTGACTTAACTCCATGGAGGCTGCCATTTTGGGCACAGTGAGTTGCTGTTAGTCCCACGTTGTTGTCTCACTTCCTGCCCACTATGAATAGGAAAAGCAAGAGACTGCCCCGTGCTCCCTATTCATACACATGCCATTTGATGGACACATTGTGAATGTTTATGGTAAATTTTTTTAAAGTGCCTTGTTTAGCTTTAAAAACATGATGTAATTTTGCAATTTTTGAAAAACACTAGTTTTCCTTTAAACTTAATTTTCCATGTTGATTCTGAAGCATTTGTTCTAAATGGTAGCACAAGAGTCTGGCAAGTTGGTACTACAGAGAGAAGGGATTAATTGAGACTTGTTTGGAGTCGGGAGTCCCCTTTCCCAAACATGCTTCTCGCCACTTGGACAGCAGCCATTTGTACTCGTATACTTTTTACACTTTTTCCTGGAATGCTTTATTTTACTTGACTGATTATGTGATACTTCTCCTGACTTGTCAAAATGATCTCTTGCAGGCAGCCAAGGAGCAGTGGACAGCAACTACTACAGTAACGGAAGCCGTGCATCTGTGGGAGTGAACGGAATGGGAGGGATGTCTAGCATGTCCAGTATGAGTGGTGGATGGGGAATGTAATCAATCGATCCTTGTCGCTGACTCTTGGTCAATATTAATGGGAAAAAAACAAAAATAGGAAACAAGTTTAACAGTTTTGCAATACCAGCTTGTGATTTATGCTTTAAGTGGAAATCAGGATTGTTTTAAACTTAAGGTTCAGTATTTTTGAACACAAATATCATCTAGGATGTAACAACTAAGTTGAGTAAACTATAACTGTTAAACAATTTTTAGCTTTTCTCAAGTTAGTTCTATTGTAGGGTGTACTTAAGCAGTAAGTATATTTAGGTTAAAGCAGTTGAATTATGTTAAATGTTGCTCTTACACCACATTACCCTGAACACTGTTTGGAAGCATGTTGGAAGACATGCTTTTTTTGTAAAACAATATAGGAGCTGTCTCTACAATTAAAAGTGAAACATTTGGCATGTTTGTTAATTCTAGTTTTCATTTAATAACTTCTAAAGCACGTATGGTTAAACTTTTTTTTTTCTTTTTTCTTTTTTAAGTTAATGGGGTAATTTTGAGACGCAATACCAGTACTTTAGGATTTTGGTCTCGGTGTTTGTATGGAATTCTGAGGCCTTGAATTTAAGTCTTTTCATTGCATTGTGAGTTCCTTTTAGGTGTATTGCGCTAAGTGAAACTTGTCAAATAAATCTTCCTTTTAAAAACTGCACTTTGTCTTGTCTGTGCTTCAGTGTCATGTGGACTGTTTCTTGGTGCTCTATTCCTGCCTGGGGCGTAGGTGACAGTGGCCCAAGTCTGTGGCTGTGGCAGAGAGGCTGTTGTGTAGATGTCTTCAGACCTCCCTCCAATACAACTGCAGGTAATGGTAGCTTTGGGGTCCTGGCTGGAAGGGCTGTCCATTGAGCCTGGCTGCACCAACCCTGATATGTATGCACCTGTGCCCTCACACTGCATGCTGCATGTCCAGTGGAGGCCTTCCGTCCAGCATGGCTGAGCACGGAGTGCTGAAGGCTGAGGGTGGCTGGAGCTGCCCTTCCCAGTTGGGTGTGGTATCTCTCAGTTTTTTTGTTGGTTTTAGAGAAACACTGATTTGTTGTTCCACTTAACTGTGCACTCACAGGTCGATTTCTTGTGTGTTCCCTGATAGGGCATCAAACCCACAACCTGGAGTACTCCAACTGAGCTACCCAGCCAGGGCTTGGATGACATTTTTCGAGTTCTAATAGGAAGTGTCCCCTGGAAGCTAGATTTTTTTTTAAGGGAGGGAGAGGAATAACAAATGCGTGTGTGGTTGCCTCTTGAGCATCCCCTGTTGGGGACCTGGCCCACAAACTAGGCATGTGCCCTGACTGGGAAATTGAACCAGCAACTTGGGTTTGTAGGCTGGCACTCAGTCCACTGGGCCACACCAGCCTGGGCAGATGTTTTTATATTTTTGCTTAATTCCTAAAAATCCAAGATGACTTAAGAGCAAAACAGTTCTGAGGTGGAATACCACATATTTCTAAGTAAACATTATTAGTTTGTCATTAAATGTAATCTAGATCAGATTTTATATTTGATTCTTTCTAGAAAATATACCCTAGCATTAAGAAGCTAAAAGTAGTTCCAGAAAAACCCTTCCACAGGTACTTAAACTGCAGTGTAAGACCTACTGCTCGGTTACCCTCCCTCTGGATGAGTGGTTTTCTGCCTCTTCCATCTCATGGCACACACAAACTAATTACTGAGATTATGCAGCACGCTAAAAAAATAGAATTACCTGACAAAATACAGTTGGTTTACAAGAATAACGGTGGTAATCTACCATTTTGCTCCAACGTGACTTAAAAATCAGGTTGCCTTTGCTTGTATATATATAAGGATTTCTAGTACCAAGAATGAACCAGTCAGATGCAAACTTACCTGATAGGACCAATAAGATGCACTCTCAATATGACATTCATGGTTCAAGAGAAGAGGTACTCATATTTGATGGCTGCTGTTTTTTAATTTGACAACCTAAGGAAAAGGAGGTTAGTGCCCTTGATGAATCAAGTATTGCATGTTACAAAATCTGTCACCAGTTGGAAATTGCTGACCGAGACTATTGGGTTGAGAGGAAATTTCAGCAGCACATCAAGGCTTGTGCTGTTGGAAGCTTGGTGTGTGTGCCTCACTGTGACAGTTCTGAAAGGCTTCTCTGTCCTGCGTGAGGTCAGTGTGGTGGGCTACCCATTCCCGAGTCTGCATGGTGACACTGCGTGGCAACATCGTACCTGCTGCATGCCCGCTGCAGGCTGCTGGGCTGTTCCACACTGTCAGGGCTGTGGGTGCCAGGTGTTGTACTTGGAATGGGTTTTGTTGCTTGTCTGGTGGATTCAGAGATGAATTAATTTCAGTGCGAGCACTGGTGTTCAGCTACAATCTAACCTTAGTGTGGTGCCTGTGATCTTGGCTGAGTTTTTAAACATCTGTGGGTTGGACACACTGTTGAGAAGTTTGAAGGAAGGCTCCTTCCCTGAGTCTTTCTCATTAACTTGTTTTATATAGGAACATTTTTGTTGAAAGACAAGGGGGAAGGGAAGGCGGATTAGAACTAGAAATGTGGAGTAAAGCTAATAAGCAAGCTAACCCAGAACATTCTGGTTGTTAGGAGCCTATGTTCTGTGGACTAGCACCCTGGGAGCTTGTTAGGGATGACCAGAGCCTCCAGGCACTGCGCCTGCATTTTAACACCAGCTCCTACCTCAGCCCCACGAAATGAACCCCTGCACTTACCCTTGAGAAAGAAGTGCTGTCTTAGAGCATCTGCCACCACTGCCCATGATGGGGAAGGGTTGTCTGGTGTGTGAGTAAAAATTTCTCTCTTCGTGCAGGTAATCACTGGACACTTGAAGAAGGATTCTTTGTGAATGATGCTTGCTGACCCTTTGTTGCTTGGGAGTGGGGTGGGGATGTGGTTGGGGGAGGAAATAGGTGTGATAAAGGGAAGAACGCTGAGTGTGGCACACTGGTGGGCAAGCCATATATACTCTGCTGAGCCTTGAGAGCAGTGCTGAGTGCTTCCTTTTGTAAGTGCAGAGGAAAGCTGAGGCTCAGAAGGGCAGTGACTTGCCTAAGGGACCCCACAAACTGAGTCTAAATGGGTGCAGAGAAGACAAAGGTACATGTGTCTAATGCCAGATGACGACCAGTTTAGGACAGTGCAGCAAATGCTCAGGAGGGTTGGTCCCTGATAGGCATTGAAAACCTGCAGCTTGGAGAAAACACAGCTTTGGAGCTTGGCTGCACAGGTCCTGGAACCTAACCTTATGGTCCTATCTCCCACCCACATGTATTTAAGGAGCAGCTGATGTGGAATCTGAGCCAGGCTGTGGGTAAGCCTTTTGCAGGGAGAGCCCTCCCGGGAAGAGCCAGGGCCTCCAGCAGGGGCTGGCCAGTGGAAAGCAGTCTGGAAGGGGCTGGTGGGAGGTGACAGGCAGGCAGAGAGTGGAGTAGGTGAGTCCACTGAGGGTTGAGGCCTAGACCAGGAATGGATGGGGTGGCTCTGGCAGTCACTGTTAGAACATCTGCGCCAGTACTGCTGCACGTGCTGAGGAGGACAGCTGTGAGCCTGCTGTCACAGCTCACACCCTGTCCTGCCTATCCCTGGAATTCAAAGCCCCAGGCGTCTCCAACTGTCCTTACCTGTATGCAAGGGAAACAACCTCTGAGCTTTGCGGAGAAGTTTGTGTAAGGTCACTTCCTTTGCCACTAATGGACTTAGCTCAGTCAGGCAGAGCACAGCCCGTATCCCAGAACACAACAGGCTTCTGGGCGGTCACCCCAAACAGCCAAGGCCTTTTGGTCCTGGAATGGGGGGTTGATCTGAGGCACCCTCCAAAGGCCAACTCAAGCGGACACAAGTTCCTTCGTTTTTCTGCACGCAGGTGAGAAATCAGTGACTTTATTGCAGGGCCTATTGAAATGGCCCATTTCTTGACTCAAGCAGGGAAGGCACACAGGGCAGTGGGAGAGGGACCAAATGCTCACTATACTGGTATGATTGCTACAAAATAGTTTAGTTTTTGGGAAAGTGAAAAATGACAGTAGCAAAACCACAAAGTTAACCTGACCCTCAACCAGTGATGCAGCCCAATTCGAAGGAAGTCTGGATCCAGAGTTCATACCGTCCAGCTCTGGAGGGGATGGTGCCCTCTGTCCCAGAGCCGGTGGCCACGTGGGTGGGATCCGGGGCCTCAGGAGCCAGTGGAGGAGGAGCAGCGCTGCAGGAGCAGGGTGTGGCAGCTGTCGCACACGCGCACCGGCTTGGGGTAAGAGGGCAGGGCCAGCTCGTTGCTGGAGCAGGTACTGCAGAAGATGTGGCCACAGTTCCGGCAGTGGTGCTGGGGGACAGACGGGAGCTGTGGGGTGCGCTGCCCCTCACACTATTTGCTCCCTGGCTGCACCCCCACTGAGACTCCCAGCCTGTGAGTTCACTCACTGTTTATAGAGAAATGGGCCAATTTGGACCTTGAGTTTCACGAGTGTGGGCCAAGGGGTGTACATTCTGCACGAGGTTCTCTGTGAGGCTGGTGTTCTTTGTAAGCAGAGCTGCCCCTCTCGGCTCTACAGCACTTGTGCAGATTGGCCCAGCCCATTAGGTTAGGAGGTGGGCCCCAACCTGGCACGGGGAGGGCCTGGCCTGTGGAGCCGCTCTCTAGCAGCAGCCTCAGCATGGCTGCTGCTCCTTCCGACTAGAATTTAGGGGCTTTGCTTCTTTTTCAAAGAGGGTTTTAAGGGGGCAGGTAAGAATGTGCACCCGCATGGCAGCAATAAAAAGGGGAGGTGCCAGTGTGGCAGGTGTCCCAGTAAGGACTCCCAATTGTGTGTGGGGTCCGTACCCCGTGCCTGTCCTGCCCAGTGGGTCGTTTGATGGTACTGTCAATCCTGGACCAATTTCTTAGAACCTGGAGGCAGGGCCCCAGCAGAGGAGCAGGTCAGCTGGAGGCTGCCCCATGCTACCATGATACCTGCCCCGAGACCTGCGGCCATTGTTTCCCCATAGATCCCGTTTCTTACTAACTTGGCCAGACTTCAGTCCTGTCGGTTACAAAGAATTCCCAATGATGCACTCATGACGAGTTCATGCAAGCAACCCAGCTCCCAAAGGCAGTTACCAGTACTGAAAGGACTGCTGGGGACAAGGACTATGATTGAGTGGCAAGATGCCCCTAGCACGGGCTGCCTGTACAGTCTGGCACAACAGCGAGCAAGCCCATGGTGCGATGGGCCTAGTCCCAAGTACTCTTCCCAGAACCAAAGGAGAGTCCCCAGGAGGCACAATCCAGCCCCTGGGCGTGGGCTGCAAGGCCCACCCACATACCTTCCTCCGAGAAATGGAGAACTCCTTCTCACACTGCTTGCAGCACGTGGCTTCATCGTCTTTCAGCCATGTGTGGCCCTAGGAGGAGAGAACATGATGGCAGGCTCCTGATGGACCTGGAGCTCTGTTCCAGCTGCCCAGTGTCCTTTTGAGAGACCAGCTACAGCTGGAACCCTGCCGCCAACCTGGTCTGCCCTCGGGCTCCAGCTTCCTGCCCTTTGCATGCTGCCCCCTGAGCTTCTAGCCCAATTCTCCAGCCTCCTGTTAACCTCCTTTTGGCTGACGCCCCCTGGCTCAGGGTCTGGTGCTGGCGACCCCAGCCCTGGCTGAAGCCCTCTCGGTCGGCAGATGGGAGAGGACCAACGTGGTCAGCCAGACAAATTGGCCACAGTGATGGGAAGTGGGACCTCCACACACCCCCCAACCCCGATCCTCAGAACACCACAGAGGAGACAGAGGTCTCTATTCTGCAGAGGCAGCACCTGAGGCTTGGAAATAGGTTCTCAGGTCCCAAGTCATCATTTTTATCCTCTTTCTGGTGCTTAGCTTGAATGCAGTGCGGGGGACGGAAAGACAGCTGCAGCAGTTACATACAAGGAGCTTTCACTGTACGAGGGAGGATAAAATAAACGGACGATGGCTCTAAGTCCAGATGCTGTGACCCTTTGCCGCCTCCGACCTGTGCTCTCTGGAGCCAAGATGCCCAGTTGTCAGTCTTCTGCTGCAGCGGACGGCCCCTTGGGCAGGCTGCCAGTGGGCTGCCCCTTCTGCTCTGAACTGCCCTGGGATGGGGAGGCATTTGGAAGTGTCTGCCCTCCTTTCTCCCTGTCCCCATGCCAGTAGGCCAGCCTGACACCTGCACTGGGTCACCTGGTCCACACACACCTGTTCAAGGGGTGTGTCATTCTACCCTACCCCAGAATGGTCCAGACACTTGCCCTGTTCAGGATTTCGGTGGTCCTCAGACATGGCTTGGGCACTGCAGGGGTGCAGGGCGGCCTCTGGCCCCTTACTTGAAGGAAAAGGTCTCACTGTCACTATCAAAAAAACCAACCAACCAGAAAACCCTGGCCCTGGCTGGGTGGCTTGTTTTGTTGGAGCACTGTCGCCTGCACCACAGGTTGCAGGTTTGCTGGCCGGTCAGGGTGCACACTGAGGTGGTGAGTCCCATGCCTGGTCAGGACATGTAAGTACAGGAGGCAATGGATGGATGTTCCTCCCTTTCTCCTCCCCATTCCCCTCTCTAAATATCAAAAAACATATCCTCAGGCAAAGATCAAAAAATCCCTGGACACCTCTTGGCTATCTTTACCTTCCTTCATCAGGGCACCTGTGAGGTGTAGGCTGACTGTCACGCACAGCTGGTGGCAGAGGGACAGAAACTGCTGGCCTCGGTCCCAGCCAGGGCCTGCGGCCACTCAGCACAACTGCCTCAGTGGAGCAGCCTGGCTCCGAGCAGCATCTGCTCTTTATAAACTGAGTGACAACCGCCTGGCCACACACTTCTCACCGGCTGTTGGGGGAAAGCCCAGGAGCAAGCCGGGTGAGCTCTCATGCTAGTACCTTCAGTGCCTTATTCACTTCTTTGATGTCTTCCATCTTCAGCTTAGACCTGAAAAAAAGGAGAGATGACTCACAGAAGCGAGAGGCTCCGAAATGAAGAAAGCAAACTCAGGGTCTGGCTTTGCGAGGGTGACAACTCAGGAATATAGTAACATGGGTTGTTCAAAAATACTTTCCACCTTCCTTTTTTTTGTTTATTTTTTCTTTCTACCTTCCCACCTCACTCCTGGCTCACACATGTCGAGGTCTGAGGCTGAGTCTGTGGCCCCAAAACAGACCACTGAGCTGCAAGGGTTGAAAATGAGTTTGAAATAATTGCAGTCATTTAAAAATGGAAAAGTATCCCACAGAAGCCCACGTTTCTGGCTTCTCCGGGCAAATATTTTCCCACTCATGTCTGGCATGTGTGTGGGGGAGCCCCCTCAGGTTGGACGGGGCAAGTACTGGCCAGAAGAGAGCAGTGCAGGGCACTCCATGGAGAGGCGGCGGCAGGCAGGCCTCTGGGTGGAAGGGGTGATCAGCTGCCCTGAGCTGGTCTAGAAAAACGGGACGAGGAAGGCAGAATCTGCACCCCACATTCCCACCAGAGCCATAACATTTCCTTCCTCATTTTTCTTTATACTATTGTGGGCCAGCCCAGAGCACTGCCTCCTATAGACTTGGCAACTTTGTAGACTAAGAAAACCCTAGGGTGGTGCACGTCTGTGTCCTGCTTCAGTGTGTTTACAGTTCATTCTCATGTTGGTCCCACCTCTGGAGCTGTGTGGTCACAGCATATTCGGCACTGGGGCTGAGCCTTGGGGGCACTGGTCACAAGAGGCCCCATCTCTTTGGTGACTGTGCCTGTGTGAGGACGCAGGTGGGAACAGTGAGTCAACCTGGGAATGCTGGAGGGGGAGGGACTGGGCGTCGGTCTACCCCACTGGGCACCAGACCCACCAGTGTGGTAAGTGACAGGATGGCAGAGGTGGGAGGCAGAGACAGATTCCTGATGGCCTTTTTTGCTTAAGCCAGTTTGAGTTGGATTTGTTACTTGCAACTGAGTCCCAATTCATAAGGGGACAAAGCTGTCCCCTTGGGTTTGAAAATGTAAATGATCGCACAAGTGGACAAGCCCTACAGGAAGGGACACCAGGGACAAGGGTCAAGTCCAAGGGGAGACAGAATCCCCAGGCTGTGCTCTCCGGCGGCTCCGCCCAGTGGGAACAGAGGGGCTCCGGTGGATGTGAGGGTTCCCCCTGGGGAAAGCAGTGCAGCGTGGCCGGCTGGGATTCTCCACTCCCAGGGCTCCCTGGGGTCTGACTGCGGCTGCCTGAGCAGCCCTCTCAGCACCCCTCAGGCTCCCTGGAGACACAGATGCTGAGTTAGTAAACATGAGGGTTCTGTGCCCCCCTGCCCCCCGCCTGACTTCCAGGGCCCTCCCTGACCGTCTCTGCCTCTTCTGACAACAGGACACAGATTTGGGACTCAGCCCTGTGGTGGGCAGGCCAGTGACTCTTCATGGGGGGAGGGGAGGGCTCTTACTGGCTCAGGTGCAGCCCCATTTCCTGGAGGGCTTGTTCTTGCTCTTCGCAAACCTTCCGGAGCTCCGCCTTCTCGTCCTGGAGCTCCCGCAGCTCCTGAAAGGAACGAAGCAGATGCCTGGTGCAGAGTTCAAACCCTGTTAGTGAGGGTTAGTCATCACAGCAACAAGCAGATCAGAATGGTCTTCAAGAGGAAAAGGCGCTTTTGTTGTGATAACCTCACTCAAATCGGGGTGATTTCATGGCTTACCCTTCATTGGCCTACTCTCCAGAACTGGCAAATGGAAGGTGAGGAGCCAGCTCCTCGCCTGTAGCAGGGACAGTGACATGGGGCAGGAAGCAGCTCCGTTCTTAAGGCACATTCAAAACAGTCACCCTCACAGGGCAAATAAGGCTTTGCCTACCGAAGTTTCTATTAAAAGACTTTAAAAAAAATTTATGACTACCTTGGAAGATACATGGATAAACTTTGCACAAAATTATAGGAAGCCTGTAGTAGTGAACGCTCATTTGAATAAACTCTTTTTGGAAAGGGTTAGTCCAATTTCCCGATAATAAATAAGGCTGACGGAGGCCAAGCTCTAGAGTCTCATCATGGCTGGAGCACAGCCAGACCTCTGGGGGCCCCGAAACTCCATGTAGGAGCTGTGCGTGTGGGGGTGTGGCTTGTGCAGGGACAGCCTGGATGAAATGTGTCATTTGGGGCCAGTGCACCTGGAAGACACAAACTGATGAGGGCCAAAGATCCAGAAAAGTAACTCAGGGCCAGGGCTGCCCACGGGCCACCGTGGGGCTTATGTCTGAGCCTGGGCGTGACCCCCCAGCCCTCCCTGGGCCTTCGGCCCCAGAGCCTGGGGACACGGGCTTGCTGGCAATGCTGGAAACAGCACATCGTTTTGTTTCTCTGTGTGTGTACGTGGTGGTGGGGGGGGTATGCGCAATTTAAAACTTTAAAAGTATTTTGAAGTGGAGTGAAAGAGGTATGTTCCATGACACAGAACTTTGTAGAAGTTCTATTCTGTCCTCTGTTGTCTCTCTTTCCTACTCTGAGTGGCTCTTGAAGAACCTCTCCCCTCCCTAGTGATCCCCACCCCTGACTTGATGGGCTTTGTCACAAGTGGGTCTAAGCCAGCCAGGGGTGTTGAACTCATTTTCACCGGGGGCCACATCAGCCTCGCAGTTGCCTTCAAAGGGCTGAATGTAATTTTAGGGTTAGGACTGTATAAATGTAACTACCATATTTTGTAGGACTATAAGATGTACCTAGGTTTTAGAGGAGAAAAATTAAAAATTTTTTGAAGCAAAAAATGTGGTAAAATATTTAATAACCTATGACCCCACTCCACCGCTGCCCCCCACAGTGAACCAGGTAAGCTACATTCGGCCTATAAGACACACCCCCATTTTCCTCCCAAATTTGCGGGAGGTAGGGGAAGGAAAAAAATGCATCTTATAGTCCAAAAAGAACAGTACTCCTTAACGGTGAGGCAAGAGCTTGGCACTGCCACTGGGTAGAAACAAGGTGCCGGGCTGGATAAAACAAGGTGGAGGGGTGGGTCAGCCTGCAGGCCTTGTGTTTGCCACCTGTGCTCTAGACACTTTGAACAGAAATTCGAAGGGCTTTTCTTGGCTCCAATGGTTCAGCAGTACTCATTACCGTGAAGCTGCTCCAGTCCCAGGACCCTCCTCCAGGAAGGTGGGGCATGGGAAGGCCACCCAAGGCTTGGCAGTGGTGAGCCTGGCACCAGCCGTGGCAGAAGCCCTGGAGGTGTGCCCAGCTCTGGCTGGTTCACTGGCTTTCAATCTGTTTGGTCCTTCCCTCTCAGGGTGGAAGGCCTTCGGTTCGGGGACAGTGCCTCCCAGACCTGGGACCACTGGCACGCAGGGGGCCTGCTCTGCAGTAGTGGGGGCTCGTGCAGGGGTCACGCGGTGCTGGCAGGCGCTTTGGCTGGAGATGCTAACAGCTCCTTTCCTCCCAAGGGCCGTCCACCTTACCTTTTTTAACCCTTCCATTTGTTGCAGCTCTGCTCGGAGGAGGGAGGAGGAGTCCTTCTCACACTGTAATTCTCGCTGAAGAGCTTGTCTTTGCTCCTTTTCTGATTTCAACTCTTTCTCTAGACTTGAGCTGTTTTCCAAAAATGAATGTGAGTTAGTCTCAGTGGGAGATTTTTCATAGAAAATCCACAATCCAACCCCAGACACCACATAGGAAACGGAATTCAACAGGAAAATGAGTTGCCTCATGAGCCTCTACGCCCTTCAACCCAGCACGGAGACAAGCTCCGCCTCCCCCAGGGCCACCCGCACACTCTGAGAGAGACACACTGGGAACAAGCAGGAGGAAGCCGGGGGGCACCCTGGACAGTCCATGGATGGAGGAAAGGGGAGGAGTGCCCAGCAGAACCTGCGACAGAGCCCTGGCAAGTGTGGCTCAGTGGACTGAGTGCCGGGCTACAAACCAAAGGGTCGCTGGTTTGATCCCCAGTCTAGGGCACAGGCCTGGGTTGCAGGCCAGGTCCCCCGTAGGGGCGCACCGGAGGTGACCACACATTGATATTTCTCTCCCTCTCTTTCTCCCTCCCTTCCCCTCTCTCTAGAAGTAAATAAAATCTTAAAAAGGAAAAGAAAAAGAACCCACCACCCAGATGGAGACTGGATTTTGCCTCTTCCATCCAGAGCCAGCTGCCCACAGAGGCCACTGAGGGGTTGGGGGTGGGGAGGAAGCTGTGGAGGGTCAGGAGTGTGCCTCATTTGCACAGCCTCAGGGAGGCGTTTTCTCACTGGCCTTTGAACTTTTCCTCAGCATACCTGCTCCCATCCCAATTCCAGGCTTGCAGGGGTAAACCCAGAGTGGGATACTGTCCACCTGAGCAGGAGCACCTGCCCTCGCTACCCGCTGGGCACCCACCACTGGCTGAGCAGCTGGGAAAGCCGCTCCTGCAGTGCTTCGGTCCTGCGGCCCAGATCCTGCTGCAGCTGCTGGCCCCGGCCCTCAGCATCCTGCCGCGCCTGCTCAGAGCACTGCAACCTGTGCAAATGAACCACAGCTGCGTGAGGCAAGGGTCAGAGCTCTGATATGATGTGGGAAGTGTTCATACTCTTGCTGGCTTGAGGTTTTCCTTTCATTTTAAATTAATATGCAGTGAAATTGACTTATGCGTCCGTCCAACGGGCACTTGTCAAGACCACGGATCCACCAAGGCCACTAGGACACAGGATGGTTCCAGGCCCTAGGCTTTCTAGCGTGGCCCCCTGAAGCCACATTGCCTCTTCCTACATGACCCCTGGCAAAGCTGAACTGACACCATGGCTCCATCTCTTTGGTACTGTTGTAGCAATGCAATTATACTTCACGCAACCTTCCGAGGCTGACTTTGTTCTCTCTGCCTAACATCTCTGAGGTCAGTGCAAGTTCCTGCACAGCGGCCGCTCATTCCTTCCCTCAGCCGACTAGTGTCTCAGTGCAAAGGGTGTTGGTTTGGTCATCCACTCCCGGAAGACAGCTGTCTGGGTGGCTCCTGGTGTTTGGCAATTAGGAACAGAGCTGCTATACATTTGCGTATAAGCTTTGTATGAACATAAGTTTATATTCCTCTTGGGCAAGTAGCCAGGAGTGGGACTTGAGTGTTGTGTGGTAAGAGAATGTTCAGTTTTATTGTATGAAACTGTTTTCCAAGTTGGCTGTACGACTGTGCCTTCCCACTGGTCATGTAGGAGAGTTCCAGCCGCTCCACCACCTTGCCAGACACGGGGTGTGGTCATCAGTATCTGGCTGTTCTAACAGGCGTGTAAGGGCACCCCCGCGTGATTTAACACGCACTTCCCTAAGTGCGCCTTTGCCGTCTATATGCGCACTTTGCTGAAGTTCTGTTCATCTTTTGTCCTTTTAAAAATAGGATTGTTTGTTGAGTTTTGAGAGTTTTTAAATATATACTGGACACCGGTGTTCTGTGAGATACAGGGTGGGACAAAAGTAGGCTTACAATTGTGAGTACATGAAACACAGAGTTTATTCTTGTATTTTATCTACTATTGTGTTATTTTCCACATGAACAACTGTGAACCTACTTTTGCCCCACCTTGTATGCGATGTACAAATTTTCTCTCAATCTATAACTTGTCTCTTTATTCTCTTAACCGCATCTTTCACAGAACAAAAATTTTTAACTTTGATAGAGTACAGTTTACCAAGTTTCTCCTTCATGGACCATGCTTTTATGTCACGTCGAAGATCTCTTTGTCCAACCCATGGTCACAAGGACTTTCTATATATTCTTTGAAAAGTTTTACAGTATCAAGTTCCATATTTAAGTGTATGATCCATTTTGAGTTAATTTTTACATAAAGGTGTGAAGTACAGGCTGAGGTTATTTTTTGCTTATGAACGTCTGTTTCAATATCATTTATCAAAAAGGTGGAGAGCCAGGACATGCCACCGCTGAACTGCCTTTGCACTTTTGGGAAAACTCAGTTGTGCATGTTTGTGTGGGTCTTTTTTCACACTCCATTCTCATCCACTACTGACCTGATGTTTAAACGTGATGGCGACAAGGAGCACCCCGGAAAGTCCTGGCCCCCTCCCTGAGAGGACGATATGCTTCGATAGCCAAAAGGCTGACCGAGTGAATACATTGCTCCCCCCTTGCTAGGCAGGACTACGGATGTGAAGGGCAGCCACCCAACCCATCTCTGCTTCTGAGAGAGTAAGTCCCCAGGCCCAGAGGGGTCCCAGCACTTTCTAGGGAATATCTGCCAGGGCAAGTGATTACCTTTCTTCCATCTGTTTCATGCTGGACATAACTTGATTGATATTTTCTTCAAAAGCTGTGATGGCTTCATTCTTCTGCTGTAAACTGCTCTCTGTATCCTGCCAAAGCAAGGCCAGGAGGTCAGACTCTGCCTCTCCCTCACCCCTGGTCCAGCAGGGTCTGACTGTGCACTTGGTGCTTCATAATACTTTCAAGAGCATTTCATTCATAGCTGCTCTTCTCCAGAGCCCTGGAAGGCACACTACGCCATAGCTCTTAGCATTGCCAACAGAAAGAGAGACCAAGAGGGAGAGGCCAAGGCTCTGGTCAGGATACAATGAAGAATCAACCAATGAATGCACAGATAAGTGGAATAACAAATCAAGTTTCTCTCTTAAATCAATCAGTCAATCAATCAATCAATCAATAAAAAGTCCTACAATTAAGGATATATAAAGAAGCCCTCACACCAAAACTAGTAAGAGGGGCAGAGATGTGGAATAGGCTGGTCCCACACATGTGTGGCAAATAAAAATTGAGTGAACTCTCAGCCGTGGAGGTTTCCCATGAGGAGTAAGGGGCCCCAGACCCACATCATGGGTCCCAGCCCAGGGCTCCAGAGCCAGGAAGAGAAGGCCCCACAACTTCTGGCTGTGAGAATCAACAGGGATTGAGGCTGAGTAAGACAGGGGCAGGGGGTGGAGGATGGGGGGGGGTGCTGCTGCAGCCCCAGGCAGTTCCTCTTAAAGGGCCAACACAGACTTATCAGGACTCACTCCATCTGAGCTCCAGCAGTGTGCTAGCAGTGCGAAAAGTGCCAGGGACATGTTTGGAGGAAAGGAATTGTCAGACACCAGGGCAAGAGCTGGAGAAGCAGCTTTCTCCCAGGCAGGAGTGCCAGCAGAGGCCACTATTCCTTTTCTGAGCCCTCCCTCCACAGAGCCAGCTGGCGGGCAACACACCTAAGCCTCCCTCAGTCTGGCTAATGCTGCTCTCCCCACTCTGATGTTTCCCTGAGACCCCACCCCACCAACTTACAGGCCCATCCGAGCTGTACACAGTGGCTCTCCCATACAAAGTGTGCATAGTAGCTTACATTTCCGATGTCGCTCAAGTCTCTCACACAAGCAGCATCTGGCCTCAGTGTGCCCTGCACCTCTTGCTAAGTGGCCCTAAGCCTGGCACTAGCAGCAGGCCTTAGTTCACAGCCTGGCCTCTCCTGGGCAACTCTAAGCCCAGCACAGGTAATAGCCATCTGTATGTTGCTTTGTAGCTCAGGCAGGGTGGACCTGGGTAGAACACAGGTGGTGGCTGGCCTTGGCCTGCACCTACTACAAGGCCCTGGAATCGGTGCACCCAGTGGACAGCTTCAGACACTGAAGCACCATTTAAGGGGCAGACTCTACACGTGACACACTCAAGGGGCAGACTCAGTGGGCACCAGAGCCTCCGTGGGGTCAACCCTGCACAGCTGATCCTCCACTGTGGCCAGTGGTTGCAGTCAGTCCTTACAGCTGATCAGCCTGGGAGTAATCTCTCCCACTGATGTGCCAATGGCAATCAAGGCCCAACTACAAGAGAAGGATGTATTCTGCCCCCATGGGGCTAGGGTGTGGGGCACCTGGAATGCCCAGTTTGGGTGATCAGAGAGGCTGAGCCACTGGGCCCTACAGTACACTGAATATATTAGGCCACTCTACCAAGCCAGGGAGATGCAGCAGCTCTAATATATGGAAACAAACATAGCAAGGCTTCCCAAATGAGGAGATAAAAAGACATGTCCCAAATGAAGGAACAGAACAAAACTCTAGAAAAAGAACTAAACCGAAAGGAGACAAGCAATTTACTAGATGTGGAGTTCAAACTACTGGTTATAAGGATGCTCAAGGAACTTAGTGAGAATGTTAACAACATAAAACAGGACCAGTAAGAAATGAAGGAGACACTAACTGAAATGAAGAACAATTTACAGGGAATCAACAGTAAAGTGGATGAAGCAGAGAATTAAATCAGAGATTTGTAAGATAAAGAAGCAGAAAACAACAAATCAGAATGAGGAAAAAAATAATCCAAAAATATGAGGACAGTGTAAAAAGCCTCTGGGACAACTTCAAGCATAACAACATTTGCACCACAGGGGTGCCAGCAGGAGAAGAGAGAGCAAGAAATTCAAAACCTACTTGAACAATTAATAACAGAAAACTTCCCTAACTTGTCAAAGGAAATAGACATACAAGTCCAGGAAGCACAGAAGGTCCCAAACAAGAAGAACCAAAGAGGTCCACTCTAAGACACATCATAATTAAAAAGCAAAAGGTTAAAGACAAAGAATCTTAAAAGCTGCAAGAGAAAAGCAGTTAGTTACCTACAGGGGATTTCCAGTAAGACTGTCAGCTGATTTCTCAACAGAAACTTTGCAGGCTAGAAGGGATTGGCATGAAACAAAGTGATGAAAAGCAGAGACCTAGAACCAAGATTACTGTGTGCAGCAAAGCTATCATTTAGAATCGAAGGGCAGATAAAGAGCTTCCCAGACAAGAAAAAGCTACAGGAGTTCATCACTACCAAACCAGTATTATATGAAATGTTAAAGGGACTTATTTAAGAAGAAAAAAGAGATAAAAATATGAATAATATGTGGCAATAAAGACATATCAATAATTAAATCTAAAAAACAAAATAGATGAACAGGCAGAACAGAAAAAAATTCATGTACTCAAAATGGTACATGATTTAGAATGACAAATATAAACATTTAGAATGTTAGCATAGCGGAAAGAGGACAGAAGTAAAGGAGGGGATAAAAGGAAATAAGAACACCAGAGAGGTGTCTAATTGCAGCGTGTCCCGAACTGAGCCCTGTGCATCTGCACCCAGAGGGGGGTAGGGTGGCGAGTGAAGATGACCACCAGAGGACATGGGGTGGTGTTGCTGTGGGAAATCTAGCACCTGCAGTGCCACCTCAGCAGTCAGGGGTCTGCCATGTGAAGCAGGTGTTTCTAGCCAGAAAGCTGTGACCCTTGTTAGTCATGGCAAACAGGTAGTAAAACTGTCACTGGCTCAAACTTGGAACATGGATCCCTGCCAGCCGTGCCACAGCTCCTGGGGAAGGGGCTGGAAAGAGCCAGGGTACGAGCAGGCATCGGCGAGCAGGCGCGGCAGGGCCTGAAACGGCACTGTGAAAAGGGGTTCGTCCAGAGGTGGTGGGAGCAGAGGGGCCAAAGGCAGAGAGGGGCCTCGTGGGCTAGAAAAGCCAGATGCTTCTGACCGATGTGAGTGAGAGGAGACTGAAGACTGTGTATTGGAGGTCTTGAGACTCCCTGTGGGAAGGGTGAGGTTAGGGGCCTCCCTCAGCAGTTGGTCAGCTGCTTCAGATGACTTGGCCATTAACATGAGAGCAGGAGACACCAAAAGAGCAAAGAAATGAAGCAGGCACAGGAATGGTGTCAATGAATAAATCAACAAGCTGGTCACTGACACCCAGACTGAGGGGAGATGACAGAGCAGAGGCTGTGGCTGCGGACGCCTCCTTGTCAAAGCGCCCAGGAGTCAGGCCTGAAGAGCAGCCGCAGCTGATCCCCAACACAACGTCCAGGGCAGCACGCTGAGCCCACAGGCTGGCCAGGAAAGCTGGCAGCTGCCTGGTGGGGACACCCACATCCACCAATACCTGTCCTCCCTGTCATGTACCTTGTAGCTGAGGCTCAGCAGCCCCAGGTGTCCCTGCGGCCAAGTGGCCTTGCCAAGCAGCCCTTTTCTAGGTCTTCACATAGAAGGACGTCTGCCGCTTGTGTCTCAGGCTTGAGAAGAAACCCAGTGCTGGACTTTGCCTTTCCCCCTACCTTGCACTGGCAAGAACAGTGACCTCTATAGTGGCCTCGAGAGCTGGAGCTGCCACCAGCCTGGGCCCGAGTGACTGCTGAGCAAAGCTGCTGGTCTGAGGGGTTCTCCTCGGAAATAACCGTATGTGACAGACATCCAAAATTCCACGTTTTTCCACATTTCTGCTGTAGGGCCTGTTAAGTCACTGCAGCGGTTTATGCCCTCCTAACACACAGGCTGCACTAGAGCTCCACGCTCCCCCAAACCAGGTGGAAACAGCCCTGGCTGGGCGGCTCAGGAGATTGGAGCATCATCCCATACACCAAAAGGTTGCAGGTTCGATCCCTGGTCAGGGCACATCCTTCTCTCTCTCTAAAATCAATGGAAGAAAAATATATCCTTGGGTGAGGACTAAGAGAAAAAAGAAAAAGTTAAAACGTAGACAACTTGTTGGTAGGGTGAAATTCTTTTTCCCCTTTTCATTTTTCACTGTTGCTATTCTAATGATGATGCTGTGATAGTTTTTAAAAAGACAGGATAAAATCACAGTGTCTCTGTACTGTCTGCTCTCACACTGTCTTTCATAAGTGAGCCTGAAACTGCACCCACGAGAGAGCATGTGGGGCTGCTTAGGCAATAAAACAGGAAACAGAAGGTGACAAGGAAAGTGCGGAGAGGACCACAGAACGGAATCCTTCCCGAGAGCTTCTGGGCAAGGGGGCGTGAAGACTTCACAGACTCTGGGACTTCTAGCCAAGATGGAGGCGTAGGTGAAAACACTATACCTCCTCACACAACCACATTTAAGGACAACAAGGATTTAGAACCAAAACACAACCAAACAGAATAGTAAACTGTACTGAAGTCCGACAACAATGAACCATTCATCCAGATCGGTAAGAGGGGTGGAGTCGGCAGCTGGCAGACCGGGGTCACGGCAGGAAAAAACGGTGGCTAGTGAACCCGGGCTCGGGGAGGTAACCAGCAAACCCAGTGAGGCGCACAAGGCGGTAGGCTGACTGTAGACGCACATTCGTGCACAGATAAACCAAGCAAAAAATGGGCAGTGAGACAGACCATGAAACCCAGGGCTCCAGTGATGAGAAATAAAGCCTAAAAGCCCCAACTGAAAAAACTTACGGTGGTTGAGGTGCTGGGAGAAACTCCCAGCCTCACAGGAGAGTTCACTGGAGAGACCCACAGGGTCCTAGAACATATACAAGCCCACTCACCCAGGAACCAGCACCAGAAGGGCCCAATTTACTTGTGAAAAGTGGCAGAGGGGACCGAAATCCCAGAGAGAGCAGAATAAGCGCCATTGCTCCCTCTCTGACCCTGGCCACACATACAGTGTCACAACCCAGTGACTGGGTTGCCCGGCCCTGGTGAACACCTAAGGCTCCGCCCCTCATATGTAACAGGTGCGAACAGCCCAAAACATTATGGCTCAAGCAGAAGAACAGCTCAAAGCCCCAGAGCCAATACTTCTAAGTGACCAAGAGATAGCCAGCCTATCAGATGCACAGTTCAAAACACTGGTGATCAGGATGCTCACAGAACTGGTTGATTTTGGTCGCAAATTAGATGAAAAAATGAAGGCTACACTATGTGAAATGAAGCAAAATACACAGGGAACCAATAGTGATGGGAAGAACTTTGGGACTCATATCAAAGGAGTGGACCAGAAAGAAGAAAGAAACAACCAAACAGAAAAGAATGAAGAAACAAGAATTCAAAAAAATGAGCAGAGGCTTAGGAACCTCCAGGACATCTTTAAATGTTCCAACATCCGAATTATAGGGGCACCAGAAGGGGAAGAGGAACAGCAACAAGTGGAAAACTTATCTGAACAAATAGTAAAGGAGAACTTCTCTAATCTGGCAAAGGAAATAGACTTCTAGGAAGTTCAGAAAGCTCAGAGAGTCCCAAAGAAGGTGGACCCAAGGAGGAACACATGAAGGCACGTCACAATTACACTACCCAGGATTAAAATGAAGGAGAGAATTCTAGAAGCAGCAAGAGATAAAGGGATAGTCACCTACAAAGGAGTTCCCATCAGTCTGTCAGATGATTTCTCAAAAGAGATCTTACAGGCAAGAAGGGGCTGGAAAGAAGTATTCCAACTCATGAAATGCAAGGACCTACACCCAAGATTGTTCTATCCAGCAAAGCTTTAACTTAGAATGGAAAGGCAGATAAAGTGCTTCTCCGATAAGGTCAAGTTCAAGGAGTTCATCAATTATATGAAATGTTAAAGGGACTTACCTAAGAAAAAGAAGACACAAAATATGAACAGTGAAAGGATAGCAAGCTCACGGTTACTAACAACCACACCTAAAACAAAAGTAAATTAAGCAGACAGCTAGATCAGGAGCAGAACCACAGAAATGGAGATCACATGGAGGGTTAGCAACAGAGGAGTGGGAGGAGGAGAAGGGGGGAGAAGGGACAGAGAATAAGTAGCATAGACGATGGGGAGAAAATAGACAGGGGAGGGCAAGAGTAGTGTGGGAAAAGTAGAAGCTAAAGAACTTGTAACACATGGACATGAACTAAAGGGGGAAATGTGGGGGGGAGGGGTGTGCAGTGTGGAGGGAAATGAAGGGGGGAATGGGTCAACTGTAATAGCATAGTCAGTAAAATATATATTTTTAAAAAATTGGTAAAAAAAAAATTTAGACTCTGCCTGTTAGTCTGGTGTGACGAGTTCTCTCTGGGCTGGCTCCCTTGACTACCCTGAAGTGACAGGGGAGGCGGGCAGCTCGTGATGTGGCCTGGAGACTCACTGAGCTTTGAAAAGACAGCACCGGCTTCTGTCCTTAGCCAGCGTTCCCATCAATTAGCCATGGAAGCAGGAGGAGACAGACAGCAGGGGACAGTGCGGGAGCAGCTGCACAGTTCAGGTGTCAGCTCTGCTGGTCAGTCACTGGGGGCGGGGGCCAAGGGACTCAGCCACTCCCTTCTGTCTTGTCACTGACAATCCCCCCCCCATTTTATCGACTTTTCCCAGGGATCCCTGGGACTCAAACAAGGTAAGTGCAGTAATAGGTAACAGGGCCCAGGACCCGGCTGGCACATCCAGGGAGCTGGCAGACATGGCTGCCGCCTCCCAGTACAGGACAAGGGACGGAGAGGCTGTGTGCAGACAGCAGCAGGAGACCGGGCCATGGTGAGGACCCTGCCAGCTCCCACCTGAACTCTGTGGAACATCTGCAGATTGATGGCTTTGACTTCTTCTAGCTGTTGGCGCAGGGCGACCAGGGTGTCCTGCTTCTCGTGGGTATCCTTTTCCAGCAGCTTCATTGCAATTTCCATTTCGGTTTTCATGCCAATTTGTAACTCCAGTTCTTTCTCTAGTTCCTTAAAAGGACAGTAACAAAGAAAAGACTGATACAGAAATAAATTTAACTGAGGGCTGTATCTTGGACAATACATAAAATATTAACTCAGGGTCAGAATATGTTAGGGAAACTTAGAAAAAGTCTGTTTGGAGCATAACTAGGTTAAGTTTTCCCCCTTTTCTCATCTGACAATGAAAACTGGCTCGGCAAGTCCCCAGAAAGCTGGCAGGTGGCAATATGCCCCTAGAGTTCCACCAACCATGGTACAGTGTTCTTCAAACCCTAAGATCAGAACATAGGGCCTGAAAGATTGTCCCGTGTTTCAGTGCTAAATCAACTTAATGTTGCCATGTTAGAACTTCCGGAATGATTTGCTAGTTTATGGCAACACCGGCGAATTCATTTTGAAGTGGCCCTGTCTGGGGTAACCCGGGACACGCATTCTCTACATCCATGCAAAGCAGCAAAGAAACAAAGTGTAGCAGCTGCAGGAACTATGTTTAATAAAGCATCAGCAGCCACTGACATCTAGATGAGATGGAAACAGACAGACTAGAGGCTCTGACTGAAGGGAATGTATAGTGAAGAATCCCCATGTCTGGTTTCACGGTAATCTCTGAGAAAGTTTACAAAATTAGAAAATGGAAGTAATGATGCAGAGCTGGGTGGTAAATATAGCCTTTTGTTTAAGGGACAATTTTGGACTGTCTGTGGGTGTCAGCAGAGTTTGCACATGCGTGAAAAGTGCTGAAGAGACCACTCACTGGGTCTCTGAGGCGCTTCTCTGAAGACCCTCGGGCTCCCAACTCACCAAACGGACTCGCTTCTCCTCCTTCAGCTGCTTCCACACATCGCTGTACATCTCGTCCAGACCCTGCCGAGTCTGCCTGTAAGTCTCCAGCTCAACTTTTGTGTCCTGTTTTGTTATCTGCACGCAACAAGAATACGGAGAGAAAAGGTTTGTTTATGGGAAGCCAGCCAACTACAAAGTATTTAAAAATATACCATAATTAAAAAAAAATTTTTTTAAAGATTTTATTTCCCTGGCTAATGTAGCTCAGTGGATTGAATGTGGGCTGTGAACCAAAGGGTCGCCAGTTCAATTCCCAGTCAGAGCACATGTCTGCGTTGCAGGACAGATCCCCAGCTGGGGGCACATGAGAGGCAACCACACATTGATGTTTTTTGTCTTTCTTTCCCCCTCTCTAAAAATAAATAAAATCTAATTTTTTAAAAATTTTATTATTTATTTTTAGACAGAGGAGAAGCGGGGAGAAAGAGAGGGAGAGAAACATCAATGTGTGGTTGCCTCTCTAGTGCCCCCTTCTGGCGACCTGACCAGCAACCTAGGCATGTACCCTGACTGGGAATGAAACAGTGACCCTTTGGTTTGCAGGCTAACACTTGGTCCACTGAGCCACACCAGCCAGGGCAAAATATACCATAATTTTTTTTAATGTAGTGTAATTTCTATTTCTTAAGTATAATAGAGAAAAGTTAAAATGTTAAAGCTGCCCTGGCTGGTGTGGCTCAGTGGACTGAGTGCTGACCTGCAAACTGAAAGGTCACTGGTTTGATTCCCAGTCAGGGCACATGACAGGAATGCAGGACCAGTAGCCAGTTGGAGATGTGCGAGAGGCAACCAATCAATGTTTCTGTCCCACATCCGTGTTTTCTCCCTCCTTTTCCCTCTCTCTAAAAATAAATAAAAACAAAATATTTAAAAAAATGTTAAAGCTATTTGAAATACCTGAATTTGAGAACAAACCAATAGATTTTTAACTTAAAAAAAAATCCTCACCCAAGGACAAGTTATTGATTTTACAGAGAGAGGAAGAGAGAGAGAAAAAAAATCGATGTGTGAGAGAGAAATATCGACTGGCTGTCTCTCATATGCACCCAGACCGGGAATCAAACCACAACCCAGGCATGTGCCCAACCGGGAATCAAACCCTCACCCTTTTGGTGGACAGGACAATGCTCCAACTAACTGACCCACCTGGCCCGGGTAAACCAACAGATTTTTTTAAATAAAAATTTAAGTTCAGAAAACAATTTACTTTTCTTTAAAACAGAACAATTGTTCTTAGTGGGCAAGGGCCCAGTCGAACCACCATTCGGTTTTTATTGAGCATGTTTTTAGCACTGGAAGAATTCTGAGATGAGTCAGACATGGTCTCTACCTTCAGATCGTCAGACGAGCAAGCCAGAGATTCTACAAAACGGCAAATTAATATGGGTGGGAGGTACAAAGAGCTGTGGGGACATGGAGGAGGCCGGGGCCCACAGGCAGGTGCAGAGTACGGTGTCCCAGAAGAGCCAGCGTGGGAGCAGGAGTGGAAGAGGGAACAGGAGCGTCTGTGGGCAAAGGCCCGGAGGTGAGGAAGCAGGTGATCGGGAAACCCCTTGTGGCCCGCAGGCCCCAGGGCACCAGGGAGGCGCAGCAGCAGGAGGCTCCCCGAGGGCAGGCTGTGGTCACACCCTGAGCGAGAGCTGCGAGGGACCTGCCTGAGTGCGGAACAGCCCTGAGGCCGAGCTCTCACCTCTACGCTCTTCTCGCTTCTTTCACGGATTAATTCATTTTGTTCTCGTAAGCGCTGCTGCTCTTCTTGAAGTGAACAAATCCGGTCTGTTGCAGCTGAAAGCTGATTAAGAAAGATTTCCATATTTCTTAGTATCAGCATGAATTGTAAACTACAAATTAAAGTCTAACATTTGGCATCTTCATAATCAACAGTTCACTTTCACATACTTGATATTTTATTTTTTTAAAGACTTTATTTATTTATTTTTAGGAAGAGGGGAGGGAGGGAGGGAGAAAGTGAGGTAGAGAAACATCAACGTGCAAGAAAAATAATCAGTTGCCTCTCACTCGTCCCCCACTGGGGACCTGGCCCACAACCCAGGCATGTGCCCTGACTAGGAATCAAACCAGTGACCTTTCAGTTCACAGGCTGGCACTCAATCCACTGAGCCCCACCAGCCAGGGCTGATATTTTATTTTTAATTTTATTTCCTGTTTTGAATAGATATTATATTCACATGGTACAATCAAAGATGTAACTGTACATAATAAAATCTGTCCCACTCCGGCCCCTAGCCCTCTCTGCCCTCCCCCATCTTTCTCCTTTTACAGAAGTGGTGGCACACTACATGATGCAGGCAAAGATTTATGGACGCGGGGCATTAGAAACGACCTGACCGTCGATGGTAGAGACATGGTTTTACTGAACTACAGTGGGAGTATACAACGGAAATATGTAATAATTTGAGAACAGACTTATAATATCAATATGAAAATAAAATAGGTTATATTGTATTTTCTCACTCCTTAATTTTAAAAATTCAACTACGTTAAAAGTGCTTAAGAGAAGATGGGGGCTATAAACACCACATGGTACAAGAGTTATTATTACTTGGCCAAGGGATTATGAGCTTTTTTCTGATTCTTTATTCTTGTTTTTCCAACCAATGAGCAAAAGGCTATTTTATCATGAAAGGAAGAACAAAAGCATTCTGGGGCAGGAATCACAACCTAACCATTAAAGACGGGCTGAGGAAGGCACCTTCCCCTCCCTGAATGAGCTGCCGCGGTTTGGGGAACAGGGGACAGAAGCAGGACACATTCACAGCCCACGGAGGAGAGGCAAGGGGGAGAGGCGAGGGGGAAGGGCAAGCACAGCAGCCGAGCCTCGTCCCCCACCCCAGTCCCCCACCCCAACCTCCGTTGTGCTCCTGGTGCCGCTCATTAAGGGGCCTCAAAGCGCCAAGCCCTCCGTCTTCTCTCAGTCCGGAGAAGCCGAGTCCACGCGGACCCGGATTCCAGAACAGGGTTCTGAATGGCACTGCCACCGCCAGGCAGGAAGGCTACGGCTTTACGGGAGGGACAAGTCACCGCAAGGGAAGGCACAGGCAAAAGCACGAGCTGACCGCCTTTCAGTTTGAAAATACAGAGCGCGCACCAGGGTCAGACGTCTACTTTCTCTGAAGGACACGTCTACCACAAGAGAGTGGTTTCCTCGGAAGAAAAAACAAGCCAGTCGTTTAATCTCACAAGTTGAATTAGACCTTCCTTCGACGCGCCACTGCCTCCTCCAGAGAACACAGTGAACCTGTTCCTCCGACAAGCAGCGCTCCACCCCCAGCACACGCCCACTGTCGTATGGGGCGCCGTTCCGCGAGGCCAATCGAATGCAGTCTTTATTCCAATCAGGATGGCATCAATTAGAGTTTAAGGTGTGCATCATCTTCTACCTCGGAGATGAGATCTCAAGCGCCTGCCACCTGCGCGGAGGCCCCGAGGCCACCCACCCGAGGTGATGGCGAGCTCTTCGCCAGACCGGGTTCCCAGGGGGTCCAGGGCTCCGCCAGGATGTGCAGCGAAGGACCCAGCCCTCGAACCCTCCTCCCACAGGCCTGAGCCCGTCTCCCGGCTCCTAGACCCGCCGGGCTGGCTCCGCAGGAGAGCGCAGTGGGTCCCAGCACCCTCAGACTGGGCCCCGCCCAGAGGCGCAGCTGCGCCTCTCCCAGCCCTTGGCCTCCCCCGAGGGGCTTGCGGGATGACGAGGGGCCGAGGGGTGTGACCTGCAGGGAGCCTGGGAGAGGCTGCCCTAGCAGGGGACAAGAAGTGTCTGCCAAGGGACCACGGGCCCTGGCAGCGAGATGAGCTCCCGGTCTTGGCCGGCCTTCACCCTGTCCTTGAGCACTCGCTCCCCCTAGTGCGAAAGCAGAGGAAACAGAGCTGCAAGGCGGGGGGCGGGGGGGCTGGTCCCCGAAGCTGAAGGGCCGCAGGGGGCGCTCGGGCGCAGGGAGGGCGCGGGGACCCCGGAGAGGCAGGGCTGCCGGGGCGTGGGAGAACACCTGTCCCCTACGCAGCTCCAGGCAGCTCCAGGCCACCGGTCAGCATCCCCAGCCGGCAACTGCTCCTCGGGAAGCCTGCGACGCCGTTGCTCTCAACCGTGGGCTGCTCTGTTTTAAGATTTTCAATAAGTTACAAACCTCTTCTTGAAGCTTCGAATTGGTCTTTTCCAAGCCATCTATCTTGGTTTGAAGATCCCCAACTGTGCAGCTATAGAAAATACAATATTAAGTAAACGTGAATAAAAGGGCTACTTTCTGGACCCATGACCATGAGCTACCGATTCCGAGACCTCTAGCAGGAAACGCGGTCAGAGGCTCTCCCGTGAACTCCGGTGACGGTTCTATAAACATATGTGCGTTTACCTTCATTGAACAGCTTTCAGTATTTTCTCCTCAAAATACGCTAACCATATTTTTCCCAGTCAACTGGTAAGGAAATAGTTTTTCTCCCGAACACAATAAATGGGAAACAAAATGTGTTGGCAATCCTATACCTAAAGTAATATTCATATCAAGATATTGGCACTTTGGGGTAGTAGGATCAAAGGTGACTTATAAATCTTTTTATACTTTGCCCCATTTTCCAAATATTCTTCAAATAAAACACACTCCTTTTGCACTGAAAACCACGTGGCCTGCTGGAGCGGACTGGGTGAGCAGGGTTGTGGCTTCCTCTCTGGGCCACGTGCCAGGCCCCTTTGCTCTGAGCCCCTTCAATGCATGTGATGCTCCCACAACTCTGGGAGGCGAGTTGTATCGCCTATTTTACAGACAAGAGCCCCATAACTTTGTATTAAAAATCTCACTCACATTCATACCCCTGGGTGGGACAGCCTGGCTGAACCTGGTGCTGTGGCCCCAGACCCTACACTTTTGGGTAAGGGGCCCTCCTGCCCACCCGGGAGCCCTGTGCCTGTGAGGGGCAGAGATGCCCACCTGGCCAGGCCAGAAAGTCCACCGGGAAGCTAGGGAGGCCCCAGCCCGGCCAAGGTGGGTCCTTCCAGTGCTCTGACCTTCCCTTGAGTTCCCCTCAATGAAATGGCTCAATTCACTTCACTCCCCAAAAAACTGGGTGGAAGAAAAGTAAAAATCCAAAGACATAAAATGAAAAAGAGAGCAAAACAAAAGCTATGGAGGAAACTAAAAGTTCAAGAGTCTACAGTTGTCCTTTCTATACCAACTATACAACTTAGAAAGCAGTAACAAAATTTGCATTTTCTTAGAACACATAAATGACTAGAAAAGGTGGATCTTCCAGAAAAGAAGACGGAGATGAACTAACAACTGAGAAACACTGAGGCACTGGCCAGAATCCGCCTCCGTGCGTGCTGAGCCTCAAACCAGATGGGCAGAGGGCACTCCCAGGCCCAGGGGAGGCCAGGCCTCTCAGCTCCCTGGGGAGGCTCAGACCCCTGCCGCCAAGGCTGCTGGGGAAGGACTCCAGGATGGTCAGGTCAAGCCCGATGTTAAGAGAACAATTAAATTACTAAAAGTAGGATCAAGCAGAGTTGGTTCCCGTGATTCAGGAGAGGCTTGGTGTGAAGAAGTCCGTCCACAAACTAGATCACATCAGCAGGTTAATGGAGAAAAGTCACCATCAGCTTACAGGGATGCTAAAAGGCTTTGATAAAATTCAACATCCATTCTTTATAAAAACTCTCAATAAACTAGGAACTGATCAAGAACTTCTTTCAAAATAACAGCCAACGTGGCACTTGGGGGGAGATGGAGCAGCGTTTCCCTTGGTCTGTGGTCCGTGCCGAGGGGAGTGCCGCTCCTTCGCCTGCCTCCCCAGCTCCCGGGGCGAGAGAGGCGGCTCTTGGGAGGCATTGCTACTGTGCACCACACGTTCTCGGAGGGGGTTCTGGCAGAGAACAACATCACCTGAGGACAGGACACAGAGACTCTGCCCACTGCCACCAATGTCTCCAGTGCCTCGTGTTTCATGAGACACAGAAGCAGCGGCTTTCCAATAAAAATGAGAAAGAAAACAAGAGAAGGATATCGCTTACGGCTACTGAATGCTCTTGGAGCTCTAGCCCAGTGGCTCACCCCTGCCTTTTCCTTCCCCAACATGCTGGAGGGATGTGTGCTGATTCCCAGCAGTAAGAGTGCTGCCCATGGCAGTGACTTCCAGCCCAGTGGCTGTGGGGTGAGGGCTGGAGAGGTGAGGTTTTATTTATGGGCTCTCTAAATTGTGTAACTGCACAGAGCAAAGAACCAAAGAATTCCCAAAAGCTCTTCTTCATCAAGGGATCTGACTTCCCCAGTCCACTCACAGGAACCTGGCACAAATACTCTTTTTTCTTGGTTGGGAAAAAATTTAGCTATAAATACATGGCAACTCAAAAAAGTCCCATGAAACAACTGTCAGGCACCGAGAATGAACTGCAACACTGGAGAAAGGAGGGAGCCCTACCTTAAGTGCCGGTTCAGTTCTTCCACATAATTTTTTTGATCAAGGACATCAGTAATTCTTTCGTGCCTTTAAAAAAGAGCATAAAAAGAAGTTCTTTTCACTAAGAATTAATATTTTGTAACTTACCCCAGCCTTCCAATCACCTTGTAGGGGTACAAAAGTCATCAGGAAACCAAGAGACCAGGCTTAGGAAAATCTACAGAACCCTAAGAGAAGAGTCGGCGAGGCTGGTGGGCAGACGTGGAAACACGCAGCCTGGGGAGCGGGTGCCCTGTGCAGCCGGCTGGCTGGCGGGGAAAAGGAGAGCCGTGCAAGGTGGTGACACCAACCGCCACGTGCCAGTGGCTCCCAGGGTGGATGAAGATGCCCTTGCTACACTGAAGGAGGGAGGCTGGCTGAGCAAAGGAGACCATGACGCTTGGAAACACAAAGCTGATCAGTCTGCATTAAAAAAAGACTTTAACATTTTAAAGTCAGCCGTCCCCCATTTCTTTATACACACACGTGCATACGCACATAAATAGGAGCACTCCACCCAGGTTCACGCCATGGCGCTGCACTTGTTTCTCGGTGAGGTCACTTTACCCCTTTTACCTGTTCTGCCCTTTACCTCACTCTCCCAGGTAACCCACATGACGGCCTGTTGAGCTGTTATGCACATATATCCTATGCGCATATAACCATCATATCTATTTATCTACCTTGTGTGTGTGTGTGTGTGTACCATGCAATTAAAACATAAAACAAATACCAGGGGTTTTTTGAGTTTGTTTAAAAAATGGGATATACATGTATATACTTCCAGTATCATACTTTTCTCACTTAGTAATACCTTGTGGAAATCCCTCGAACCTGAAACCCAGGCATATGCCCTGACTGGGAATTGAACCAGAGACCTTTCAGTTTGTGGGATGACGCCCAACCCACTAAGCCACACTCGTCAGGGCAAATCTGTTCTGTTTTTAGGTCTTCATGATACATCAGAGTAGAATATTATGGACGTTACGTAATTCATTCAATTATTCCCTAGTGAAGGATAACCCATTTATTTCCTGTTGTTTTTTTTTTTTTTACTATAAAGAACATATTTTGTTTAAGCTTAAAGAAGGGTACGTGAAGCATTAATGAGGTTCCCACTGGTCCCAAGGTGTTGAGACGGGGGCTCCTTGTGGGGAAGACGTTTGGATGACACGTAGTGAAATGGTCCGATGCGGCCCACTGGCGAGGGTGTCCAGTGCCTCCCGCCGTCTTCCCCGGCAGCACTGGGATCAGGTCTGCGTGCCACTCCACAAGCAGTCCATGAGTGTGGAAGCACAGCGTACAACTAGGGGTGTGTGTTATTATCAGAACCTAAATGGTACCAGGTTTTATACACTGTTTGCTTTCTCTTTTCTTTATTTGTTCCAGGATAAGTTTTTAAAAAATCCTGGAATGAAATCCTTTTCTTTTCCAGCAGTGGCCATGGGATGGAGATGAGGGGACAGCGTGAACAGAGACATTTCACTTGTACTCTGTGTTCTGTGGAGCTTAATTCCTCACACAACAGGAAAATTTATATATCATCTATTATTAAAAATAGATAGCCCTGGCCCTGGCTGGCATAGCTCAGTGGATTGAGCGCAGGCCTGCAAACCACATGATCGTGGTTCAATTCCCAGTCAGGGCACATGCCTGGGTTGCAGGCCAGTTCCCAGCTGGGGACTCACGAGAGGCAACCACACACTGATGTTTCTCTCCTTCTCTCCTTCCCTTCCTCTCTAAAGATAAATAAATAAAATCTTAAAAAAAATTAGATAGCCCTGGTTGTTGTGGCTCAGTAGATAGAGCACCAGCATGTGAACAGAAGTGTCTCTGGTTCAATTCCTAGTCAGGGCACATGCCTGGGTTGCAGGACAGGTCCCCAGTATGGTGTGCACAAGAGACAACCACACACTGATATTTCTCTCCTTCTCTTTCTCCCTCCTTTCCCCTCTCTCTAGAAATAAATAAATAAAATCCTTAAAATTCTTTTTAAAAATATATATTTATTTATTTTTAGAGAGAGGGGACAGGAAGGAGAAAGAGAGGGAGAGAAACATCAATGTGTGGTTGCCTCTCATGTGTCCCCCACTGGGGACCTGGCCTGCAACCCAGGCATGTGCCCTGACTGGGAATCGAACTGGCGACCCTTTGCTTCACAGGCCCGTGCTCAATCCACTGAGCTACACCAGCCAGGGCCTTTAAATTCTTTTTAAATAAAAAAATAGATAAATAAAAGCTAAAATTTCAAACAAAGCTAAAACAAACGTAGCACTCTTTGCTAGAATGTCATTAAAAATGTGAAGAACAGCATGCAATGCAGTACTCACTCTTTGCCACCATCAAGATCCTGCACATCCTTAAGGTAGAGGGAAAAATCGATCACTCCAACCTAATCAAAATAATAGGCACAGGTTCAAATACAGACTCACTGTCCTGCTTTCCACATAGACCTTACAGTCTTAAAATTCCGGGTATTTATATTCCTGTCTCTTTCCTACAAATATTTATGTAGTTAGGTTAACCACCTCTACAGAACAGCAATCAATCAAACAAACATGATGGCAGAGGAGTTAAGTGGAAACTACACTAACCTCCTCCCAGGACGAATCTGGAATTACAGTTGAACTGTAGAGAAAGCATCCTGAATAGCCACTGAACATGAGCTGGAGAGAAGCCTTATAACCACGGACAGACAGAGGAAACCACCTCAGCACAATGTGACTGGTAGGGGGTGTGGAGGAGGCGAGAGAGGGCTGACCTGGCTCCCAGGAGCAGAAGCTAAAGTGCCAGAGGGATATTTCAGTGGGCTGGGGGGGGGGGAATCCCCCTGAGAAGTGTGGGGTCTAACCTGCAAGCTGGACTCCCCAGTCTATAACACCAGAGCCAGAAAGGAGCCCAGATCACATCCAGCTGTGAAAAGCAGCAGGGTTTCTGTCTGCCAGGGAGAAATGGCCAGAGATGTAGAAAGCCTCTTAAAGGGCCAATGCACAGAATTCTCCTTGGAGACACTCACCCTGTGTTCTAGCAGAGAGAGGGCAGAGTGGACTAGAGATGCTTAAGCAGAGTTGGAGAGAATGGAAGGAACAGTTGCGGGGATCCCTGTGCTGGGTCATCCGCACACTGCAGAGCCATCTATCTCAGGCAGAGCTCTCCCCTCCAAGCAGCATCAGCTTGACGGGCAGCAACAGCCCCAGCTGCAGGAATCACTCTGCTCCACCCTGTGGAGTTTCAGCCTGACTGCTGAGCACAGCTTGATTAGACTAACAACTGATCTGTTTGAAGGCTGATTAGTTTAACATCTAAGGTGGGAAAGAAGCACCTGAAATGGGAAGACTAAGAGAAAAACCCTAAATGAAAGAACAAGACAATTCTCCAGAAGAACTAGGTGAAATGGAGGAAAACAATTTATCAGACGGAGAGTTTAGAATAATGATTTAAGGATACTTAATAGCATGAAAAAAAGACATAGAAACTATAAAGAAGGACCAGCCAAAAATAAAAAATACAATACCAGATAAATAATACACTGGAAGGAATAAACAGTAGGTTAGATGACGCAGAGGATCAAATCAGTATTTTGGAAAACAAGGTAGAAAAAAACACCCAGGCAAAGCAGAAAAAGGTAAAAAGCACTTAAAAACTTGAGGCAAGCTTAAGAAACATTTTGGACAACATTAAGCGTAACAGTATTTGCATCATGGGAATACCAGAAGAAGAGTGAGCAAGGGATCAAGAATCTATTTGAAGAAATAGTAACTGAAAATTTTCCTAATCTGGTGAAGGAAAAAATCACACAAGTCCAGGAAACTTAGAGTCCCACACAAGTTGGACCCAAAGAGGCCTACACCAAGATACATCATAATTAAAATGACAAGGCTTAAACATAAGGAGAGGATCCCAAAAGCTGCAAGAGAAAAGCAGGTAGTTACATACAAGGGAGCACCAATCAGACTGTCACCTGATTACTCAAGACAACTGTTTCAGGCCAGAAGAAAGTGGCATGACATACTCAAGGTTATGAAAAGCAAGGACCTACAACCAAAGCTACTTTACCCAGCAAGACTATCATTTAAAACTCAAGAAGAAATAAGGAGCTTCCAGACAAGAAAAAGCTAAAGGAGTTTTTAGCCAAATCAGTACCGCAACAAATGTTAAAGGGCCTGCTTTAAGAAGAAGGAGAAGAGACTTCTGGCCAAGAAGGCGGTGTAGGTAAACACACTGCACCCCCTCGCACAACCAAAATAAGGACAACAACAATTTTAAAACAAAAAAAAACAACCAGAACTGTATGGAAGTCTGACAACCAAGGAGTTAAGGAAGACACATTCATCCAGATGGTAGGAGGGGCGGAGCAGGCAGCCTGGAGAGGGCTCCAGAGAGGGCTTGTGGCAAAGCGGCAGCTGGTGGACCCAGCAAGGCTGTGGACTGTGGAGCGGGCAAGGTCCCGTGTGCAAGGCATCTGGCAGACAGGGCGGCCCTACATTCGCATGCAGATAAACCAGGCTAAACTGGGGAGCGAGACAGACCCCACAACCCAAGAGTCCCAGTGGGGAAATAAAGCCTCAAAACGCTGATCAAAAACACCTATGGGGGTTGAGGTGCTAGGAGAGACTCCCAGCCTCATAGGAGAGTTTGTTGGAGAGACCCGCAGGGTCCTAGAACATACACAAGCCCACCCACCTTGGAATCGGCACCAGAAGGGCCCAATTTGCTTGTGGGAAGTGACTGAAATCCGGCAGAGAGTGGAGCAGGTGCCATTGTTCTCTCTGGGACCCCTGCCCCACGTATAGTGTCACAAAGCAGAGAAATGGGTTGCCCCACCCAGGTGAACACCTCAGGCTCCGCCCCTTACTACATAACAGGAGCAGTGAGAAAAAAAATGCCCCAAATGAAAGAACAGATCAAAGCTCCAGAAAAAATACAACTAAGCAATGAAGAGAGAGCCAACTTATCAGATGCACAGTTCAAAACAATGGTGATCAGGATGCTCACAGAATTGGTTGAATATGGTCACAAATTACAGGAAAAAATGAAGGTTATGCTAAGTGAAATAAAGGAAAATGCACAGGGAACCAACAGTGAAGGAAAGGAAACTGGGACTCAAATCAATGGTGTGGACCAGAAGGAAGAAAGAAACATCCAACCAGAACAGAATGAAGAAACAAGAATTTAAAAAAATGAGGAGAGGTTTAGGAACCTCCAGGACAACTTTAAATGTTCCAACATCCGAATCACAGGGGTGCCACAAGGAGAAGAGAAAGAGCAAGAAATTGAAAACTTATTTGAACAAATAATGAAGGAGAATTTCCCCAATCTGGCAAAGGAAATAGACTTCCAGGAAATCCAGGAAGCTCAGAGAGTCCCAAAGAAGGTGGACCCATGAAGGAACACACCAAGGCACATCATAATTACATTACCCAAGATTTTAAAAAAAGGAGAGAGCCCTGGCTAGTGTAGTTCAGTGGATTGAGCACAGGCCTATGAAGCAAAGGGTCACTGGTTCGATTCCCAGTCAGGGCACATGCCTGGGTTGCAGGCCAGTTCCCCAGTGGGGGGCACATGAGAGGCAACCACACACTGATGTTTCTCTCTCTTTCTCCCTCCCTTCCCTTCTCTCTAAAAATAAATAAAATCTTTTAAAAAATAAAACAAATAAAAATAAAGGAGAATCTTAGAAGCATCAAGAAAAAAGGAGACAGTTACCTACAAAGAAGTTCCCGTAAAACTGTCAGCTGATTTCTCAAAAAAGACCTTATAGGAAAGAAGGAGCTGGAAAGAAGTATTCAATATCATGAAAGGCAAGACCCTACATCCAAGATATCTCTATCCAGCAAAGCTATCATTTAGAATGGAAGAGCAGATAACATGTTTCCCAGATAAGGTCAAGTTAAAGGAGCTCATCATCACCAAACCCTTATTATATGAAATGTTAAAGAGACTTATCTAAGGAAAAAAAGATAAAAACTATGAACAGTAAAATGAGAATAAACTCACAACTATCAACAACTGAACATAAAAAAACAAAAACAAACTAAACAAACAACTAGAACAGGAACAGAATCACAGGAATGGAGATCGCATGGAGCGTTATCAGTGGGGGAGTGGGAGGGGAAGAGAAGGGGAAAAGGTACAGAGAATAAGCAGCATGGATGGTAGGTACAAAATAGTCAGGGGGAGGGTAAGAATAGTATAGGAAATGCAGAAGCCAAAGAACTTATATGTATGACTGGTGGACCTGAACTAAGGTGGGGGAATGTTGGTGGGAGGGGGCATGCAGGGCAGAGAATAAAAGGAAAAAAAATGGGACAACTGTAATAGCATAATCAATAAAATATATTTAAATAAATAAATAATCATATTTTGGTTTAAAAACCACCTCCAAACACATCTCTCTAAAGCACACACACACACACCCTGCTCACTCATGTGCTGGAAGGGTATACACCACAACATAATGCTGAATTAGTTGTCTCTGAGTCGTGTGATTCTGTTTGACATTTAGTTTCATTTTAAAAACACACCTCTGTATTTAATTTTTTTTTTCAAAATCCAAAAGCAACGAAACTGTTGGAGAAAATAAAACCTGACCTGGGCAGAGGGACTGGGGAAGCTACAGATTGTTCAGGTCCAAACGCATGGCGGGCAGAAGGCTGGGCAGTGGCCTGACCAGATACAGATGCCCTTCCCACCCCGAGGAGGGGTCAGAGTGTCTGTGCCCCGGGGACACCGGGAGTTTAGGTCACCTGCTCCCACTGTAAGAGGGCTGCGCTCTCCTCCGTACCTTTCCACTTTCATTTGTGCCCTGTTTTACCACCTGGGTTCCCAAATCTCTCCTGACTCTATCTCCCCAATCCCCATCCAACCTGTTGGGACTTCTAGACACATTTGTTTAATGTTTTTACTGCGTCCATTCTTGGCCCCTTCTAACTCATGACCTGGATTGACCCTTTGCGAACCCTGGCCTGAACATTTCACTGTATTGCTTAAAAACCTCCAAGAGCTCAACGGACAACGCGGAACCCCTGAACATGGCACCAGCAGCCCAGCATCTGAGCCTAGCCTTCACCTCCCCTCCTTCATGGAGTTTCCTGTGTTCCAGCCACCAACTGCTTCCTGTCCCCAAACGCACCCTCTGTGTGCCTCTGCCCAGGCCCTTTCTTTGCCCTTCCCCAGCTGCTTCCCCTTCTGTCCCTGTCTGGGGTTTGGCATGTCTACAGATCCTAGGTAAAATCTCTGGTCTAGAGAAGTCATTCTGCCTGGAGCAGTCCCCACTTTACCTGAGAATCCAAATCTTCTCCTTTTAAGCAAAGATTGGCATCAAGAACATTGAGTCCCACCAGGAGACCGACGATCACCGTCCCCTCTTCCTCCATCATGAGGGCCTCTGGCTCATAGAACTCACTGCAAGAGATGAGTGGTCACAAAGGGGCTCAGGAATGTTCTCAGAAGCTGGTTCTCCCTGCTGTACCCATCTGTACCTGGGTACAGATACCTGTACCTGCTGTACCCACTCTTGGCTTGTGGCCTGGCTGCCAGAAGCTCCCTTGGGTGAATTTCCTTCTACCTTTCATTTCCCTTTCCTGCTGCAAGCGTTGCTGTTTCTTCCCTGGCCTCTCTCTCTTCCTGTGGCTCAGAGAGGGCTCCTCCCACCTCTAGTCTACGGTGCCCCTGCCATTGGAACCTCAGACCCCAGGCCTTCTCATCTCACCTTGGCTCCTGCATTCCTGACCCTCACTCTGCCCCTCCTGGCCCCACAGGCTCCTTCTTCCAGGCTGCTGTGAATACCTCCCACACCGCGCCCCCAACTGCAAGAATCAAATTCCTCCCTCTTCTATGTGCCCCACAGGGCAACACTGGCTGCTTTTTCTTCCTTATGCCGTCACCTCAGCCACTTGCAGGGGGCTTCACACCATCTCCGACTGCTTCTGGTCACACTGATCTGCTAACATACCACTGTGTGTGTGTGTGTGTGTGTGTGTGTGTGTGCATGAGAACTCACTATCTTCAGGGTCAGTGTCTCAGACAAAACCTGCCCCTCAAAGCTGGTGTGACCACGCTTGGAGCACAAAGGACACAGCATGTTTGGGATCAGTGTTCGCCATGTAAGGCATGTTCAACAACACGCCAGGACTTGAAAACAACAGAAAACTGAGGGTGGCGGGCCATACTGTAAAAGGTATTTTTGTCTCAATTAGATTAAAAGTAACTCTAGAGAGATTCTTCCCTTATGAACCCTCATATTCTAGAGAAAGTTCCTTTCGTAATCATTATTTTTGCTTATAGTTATATGAATGTCAAATATGAACCAGTCATAATTTCAAAAATAGCCAGTTAGCCTTTACTGACATTAAAAGAATACATTTTTACAAACTGGATACAGAACCCTAAAGTAGGCAATATATTACAAAAAGCATCTAGTTCTTAAGTCATTTTTTCTGTTATCACCCAATCTAATAAATATAATTTTGTTGAAATTTAATGGGATATACTGTCAGCTACCTAATCTTAGATATTTTTGAAGAATAGTCGTTTTATAAATAAAATGTAATATAAATCTTCATTCATTCACACCAGCTTTCAGATACCAGTGCTCAAGAAAATGAAATAGCACTATTTTAAATGTAAGCCACAGGATATTTATGATTAATAATCATTTTCATAAGAGCTCTGTACATTATAGACTCCTGTTTGAACTCAAAGCAAAAGACAAGCACAGACAAGTGATGAGATACCTTAAGCTGTGTTTATTGTCTATCAGCACCTTCAGATAGTCTGCCAGTTTCTTTTGCATGAGGGCAAGATAAAGCCAAGCTCGGCCTCTTCCCACAGCTGTCCTGAATGCAAACAGAGAATCAAACTGTTACAGCTGAACAGTAACAACGAAAGGCAAAACAGCAAGACGAGTCAGCCCAAGGGATACACATTCACTCTGTGAGTGTGGAGGACACCCCAAGAATGGCTGCTTTGGGGGCTGGGAGAGCGCACTGCCTGGGAAGGCAATCAGCTTGCTACATACCTTTGGGTACTGTTTGAATTCTGTTATCATGGGCACATGGGTTTTTTTTTCTATTTTGACAAAATACAAAAATGTCTTAAGTCACAAAAATATGATTCCTGGAACAATACAATCAGATAAAACAGCACATATTAATAAAATTTCGCAGGGAGCCAAGAAATATTAGGTTAGCTTTGTGTAGGGATATTCTTTCAAAGATCACTAGTGTTGAAGTCTCAAGGTTTCTGAGGCATTGGCTCAAAGGTGCAATCTTTTAAAGAACTGTGAAAAAACCACCTTAACAAAATTCACCTTTTAAGTGTATTGCTCAGTATGTGTTCACTGCATTGCGCTGTTATGCAACCAGTCTCAAAGGTGCAAATGTGAAAAGGCCTGCTTTAAACATTACGAGAAGAAAAGCCTCACAACCGCAGACCTCACACTGCTGAAGGAAAAGAAGCAGAGTTAAGTGCGTTTGCGACGGAGGCCTGAGTGGAGAGGCACTGCTGGACCCAGCGTCTGCACCAGAGGGCGCTCTCACGGCCAAACGGGCTGGCACCAGGGACCTCAGAGCCGGGTCCACAGGGTTCATCTAACTTCATCAACACAAAAGGCTTGACCACCACCGCCCACCACCGCCCACCACCACAGATGATGGAGGTGAAAAACAAAGTGAAAAGGAAGAGAAGTAAAGTTGGAAACAAAGGTAGTGAATGTTGGCATGAGGTGGGAAATGACCGCGGACAGGGGCTGCTCAGTGGGGAACAAGTGGCACAGCTGCCCCAGCAGACAGCTTGGTGACTGCCTGCCGGCTCTCCAGGGCCTACATCCAGGAGGACATTGGAAGGACGTGATTGGGACAGGAGGCACGTTTGCAGTCACCACTGCACTGCTTGCAGAGGGAAGGTCGGAAGACAACTCCAGAGCCCCAAGGGCGTTACACAAACCGGCTGGACAACAGGCGGCTGTGGAGGAGCACGTGATGAGGAAAGAAGTCTAACCTGATATGAATGGAGAAGGGGTGCTACGGAGCAGTGTGTGCAGTTCAATAGTTAATTTTCCCGTGCTCCCCTTCCCCATATGTTAATATAAATACACTGCTTTTAGTTTAGGCTTACTTCCAAAATACTTTTATACACATGGGAACAAATATAAATCCTTATTTTTTCTCCTCTTTTTTATTAAAAAAAGAATGTGTTATACATGCTGTCCCCTCAACTTGCTTATTTCACAGGGCTCTGCCGCCACAGGGCTTGGTGGGGTTTACAGCAGGGGAGTCAAACTCGTTTTCACTCGCAGCCACATCAGCCTGAGGTTGCCTGCAAAGGGCCCCATGTAATTTTAGGACTGTGTATATGTAGCTACTTCTTGACAGTTAAGCAAGAGCTCGGCACAGCCGCCAGGCAGAAACAAGGTTCCAGGCTGAAACAAGGTGCCAGGCTGGACAGAACAAGGTGAAGGGCCAGGTTCAGCTCTCGGGCCTTGTGTTTGCCACCCATGGACTCGACGGTTTCAGTAAAATAGGCCTGTGCTCTTTCTGGTTGCCACTCACTTCTTGTCCAGGGACCTTGGGCAAGTAGTCGCTTGATTTGAGTCTCAATTTCCATGCCTGTCACTGAGAATACCAACTGCTTTCCTAGAGCTTGTTGTGGAGGATTAAATGAGGTAAGGAAATGTCCTTAGCACCATGCCTCGCACATGGAAGCCCCTGAGTACAGGGTGGCTGTTACTACTGCCTGAAAACGGAGCAGGCTGGCTCCCCAGAAAGAGGGTCAGACAGAGGACAGATGCTCCCAGGGCTCTTTTGCATCAGCCCAAGGATCTCTGAGGCCTCTTCTAATTAGATTCCACGATGACAACTTGTTTGTGTTCTGTCCAGTTGTTAATTTTGAGCCTATGTTAGGAACCTCAAGGACAAACCCAGACCCAACAAATGATTGTTAGTCTCTGCCTTTTCATAAATATCCCGTGTCCTGGGACCTAAAATCTGGCCTGAGCCGTATTATTAGAAAACTGCCCAGATGCACCTAAAGCCGTGACTCCAGGGGTGTGATAATGACTCCTTCCCCTTCTGCCACTGCTCCTCACATGACAGTGCCACCTCACCCTGTGCGAGCTTGTCTGACAAGCAGGAGTCACTGTCCCCAATTTAAGATGGATATTGAGGCTCGGGAAGGGGTAGATCTTGCTTAAGATCATGCAGAGAATGAGCAGCAGAGCTGGGACTAAAGTCTCAGTGTGGCTTATGCAATTTGTTCTAAATTGTTCTAATAATATTTTATCAGCAAGGAATGGAGAAATGGGGAAATACAAGGGAGTTTTTTAAAATATCACATCAGTGTAACAACTTCGTACTCACTTTAATTCTGGCAGATTTCTGACACTAGTGGCTATATCTGATGCTTCTGGGCAAAGCTTCTCCACCAGCTCCAAAGGACCAAAGAAAGATTTATTTTGGCCAATAAAACTCTTCTTGACTAAAAGGGAAAACAAAAGTGTTATTCATAAGAACAGGCTACAAAATGTCTTCACGGGTACACAGTGTCTCTTCCAAAAGCAAATAAATGCTTCAGATTTAATCCTTCCACTTAGTTCTTCAGATTCAGTCTTGGGGACCTGGAGAGGTCAGGTAACAAATGAGCTCTCCCTTCGGAAGACATAGATTCTCTGATGTTCCTACCATGCTCTTTCTCCAAGTATTTGCTGCCTATGAAATAAAACAGTGCCTCACAGGCTCACCTGTGAAATCTTTCCCTTTCCTCAATGCCTGACTGCAGACAGACAACACTGTCACCCCCACCTGAGCCACCACCACACCCTTCTCCTGAGCCCCCGCTCCTCGAGCTGTCACCTCCCTGCCCTCACAGTCTGCACTGCACAGAGCTGGGGCTCTTTTAAAAATGTAAGTAAGGCCCTGGCTGGTGTAGCTCAGTGGACTGAGCGCGGGCCTGCAAACCAGACAATCGCCGTTCGATTCCCAGCCAGGGCACATGCCTGGGTTGCAACCCAGTTCCCTGCAGGCCAGTTCCCAGCAGGGGATGCAGGAAAGGCAACCATACATTGATGTTTCTCTCTCTCTCCTTCCCTTCCCCTCTAAGGATAAATAAATAAAATCTTTAAAATAAATGCATTTTATAATGCCATCATTACAAAAAAATGTAAGTAAGGTCCTGTTCTCCCCTTGCTTAAAATCCTCCAAATACTCTGAGAACAAAATCCAATTCTTCCCCTGACCTATAAATATAAAGGCTTACATGTCCCTGCCCTTCCCACCTCCTTCCCCTCAGCACCCCTCAGTTACCTGGTGTCCTCCTCAAAACAAGGGTGGGCCCACTCAGGGCCTGTGCACCTGTTTTGTTTTTTCTGTTTGTTTGTGATTTTTGCTTTCCCCAAATTTTCACATGACTCACTCCTTCTTCTCCTGTACATCTCAGCTCACGCTTCGCCTCCCCAGAACCACCTTCCCCCTTTACCCTGGCTAAATGGTTTTCTCCTTACTCTGGCTGGTGTGGCTCAGGGGATGGAGTGCTGGCCTGCAAATTCGAAGGTTGCTGGTTCAACTCGCAATCAGGGCACATGCCTGGGTTATAGGCCAGATCCCCAGCTGGGGGTGTGCAAGAGGTATCCAGTCAATGTTTCTCTCCCTCTCTTCCCCTCTCTCTAAAACTTATTTAATTTTAAAAAGTAAAAGGTTTTTTTCCTTGATTTTCTATCACTTAGCACATTTTGCTTCCTTGAATTTGTAGCATCTTACAATTATATTAGTATGTTTCTGCCCTTAATGTCTGTATGTTCTCCACTACAACTGTGCTGTCCAAGGTTAGTCACTAGCCTTGTGTGCTACTGAGCACTTGAAAGACGGCGAGTGCAACTGAGACATGCTGTAAAAGCAAAACACAGCGAACGTTTAAGCCTTAGTATAAAAAAGAATGCAAACTATCTCATTAATAAGGCTTTTTAATGATTATGCATTAAAATTACAATACTGTATTTTGGATATATTCAATACAATAAGATATATTTTTAAAACTAATTTCACTTTTTTTTTTTTTTTAACGCAGCTACTAGGCATGGCCCTGGTGGGTGTGGCTCAGCGGCTGAACTCCAGCCTGCGAAACAGAGGGTTGCCAGTTGGATTCCCAGTCTAGGGCACATGCCTGGATTGTGGGCCAGATACCCACAACCCAGGGGGCTCAAGAGACAACTGTACAGTGACATTTCTCTCCCTTTCTTTATCCCTCCCTTCTCCCCTCTAAAAAATAAATATTTTAAAAATTGCACATATGGCTTGCATGAAAATTTCTATTGGACAGTGCTGCAGAAAAACTACACGTCTTGCGGGCAGAAGGTCGCGTTCTGTACCTTGGTGTTACCGCAGCAACCAGAACTACGTCAGCGCTGACGAATGCACGCCGAGCCGCGGACGCCCAGGCTCACCTTTCAGCCCGTGTTTAAGGCAGTGCTCCAACACCACGAAGAACTGCTGCAAGGGGGCGTGGTCCGCATCCAGGCTGCGGCCCAGGCTCAGGGCGGACTGGAGCAAGACCTTGATGCTAAGTTTCATCATATGCATCAGGTTGGTACGCTCCTCCATCATCTGGCACTTGGAAACTGTGGGGCAGAAGCAAGGACAGCTTCGTCAGTGGACTGACCGTGCTCCCGGCCGAGGAGCTTGGATGTGGGGCCACCGAGGCAAGACCCACAAGTCGGGAGGCAGGCGGTCTGCTCAGAGCGCAGACTCGTGGGTAACTGAGGTCTGCGTGAGATTCCAGGCCTCTCCCAGGTGGCTCTGCGCACTGCTGGGGCGACGGCAATACTCGCACCTACGGCCTCTTCCAGCATTCCATTTTCCGCCCACCGAAGGGAGTAAACCGCGGGGAGCCCCGCCTCTACTGGAAGACGTGCCCCGCCCCCAGGCATTTCTATTGGGCGATCCCACAGGCCGCGCCCATAGGCGGGGCGAGCGCCTTTCGGACCTTGGTGTCCCCTTAGCCGAGAGGGATTCCGGAACCTGCTCTTCGGTGTGACGGTGCCATCTGAGTTCCTTCGGGGAAGCCCAGCCACTAGGTTCCAGACTCACATCTGATTGTTGCCAACCGTTCGTCCACAATAAGTAGACAGTTACAAATTATACACTTTTTTGATAAGTAAAGCCGTCAGAATTAAACTCAGCTGTCTTTCCATTTCAGCTCCATTCAACTTACCGCTCTCAGGGTAGGGTGTGTTCAACCAGCATTAGATAGCCATGCCAAATGCTTACCAAATGTGTCCTCACGCCCAGGAAACTCATTGCAGAAACTTGGTAAAAATGTCCAGCCCCAACTCAGTCTGGCCGGGAAACTGCCCCAAGGCCAGGAGGGTCCCCGGGGTGCCCGCCCCAGCCAACCAATCACTGAATCCGCCTTCCTAAGGGCCAGCTGGAGGGGGTCTGGGTTGTTTCATTTCGCAGTTGTCAGATTAGTACTGGGCTTAATCGTCAGGTTCATAATCTTCTAGTCTGAATTGCTTGTTAAATCTTCACTCGGATTGATCTGTATATTTCGGATGTTAATCCTTTATCTGTTTTTATTTTATGAGCCTTACTATGGACACATAAATAGAAGAGTATATGTGTGCGTGGCTAAATTAAAAGAACAATGTTATGCCTGAATTTATAATAAAGATATTAGGCAAGTAAATATTACTGAGACTTGAGACAGCCTGGGTAGGGCTAAATATTCTCAATCTGCTCAGCAAAACCTAACACTAGATGCTAGGAAACGAACACCCACCTAAACGTTTCATCTTGGTTGTAAGAGAGAACAATGACTTAAGTAAAGCATTTGGGTCAGGGGTGGTTTAATTATTTTAAATTTTGAGAGAATCCTATGTATTAGATTTATAAATTGGATGATGGGCAAAGGAAAAAAATTGTAAAACCTCATCCTGGAAGGTGTAACCCTGAATAGACCAATAACCACAGAAGCAAAGATTGTAAAGATTTAACCTTAAAGAAGGCAGTGGTCTTCCAGTGGCAATACATATCCAGGCAGTCTTGCAGAGGGCTGGGCAGGCCCACGTGGTTTAAGGCAGTGACGCCCAGGCCTTCCTGTTCCACAGGTATGCTTTCTTCTCCCATTCCCCAGAAGAATGTCACTTCACTCCCTGCCTCCTTATCTTCCTCTTGATACAGTGGCCTGGGGTGCAGAAAGTCCCACATGTGTCCTGACAGGAAAAGCTTCCAGTCCCTCATTTACTGCAGTTAGTTCAGGAAAACTGAACGAATGGCTTCTAGCCCTCTGCTGGGTATCCTAAATTTAGAAAGTAAAAAAAAAAAAAAATCACCCCCACTGCCACCAAATTAATACATAATTATTTTCAGCCAGTCTCAATACTCAATATTCTAAGATGCGCCATTAACTTGATGGACATATTCCATAAATTAAATGAGCCAAATGGTAGCTCCAAGTTTTTGATGAAAATGGACTTGAAATACACATGAACTAAGTCTTTTTGTCAAAAAGATACTATATCAGCAAAGGTGTAAAGAAATAAGCAATATTTAGATGTCCTCAGCCATTCTGGGTGTCCTGGGTTAAACAAGGTAATTAAGTAAAAGAATTACAAGCATAATTGCCATTCAATAAGTCTTAGTAGAGCCTTTTTTGGGAAACTTCCCAAAGGTTGGGAAATTTTTCTTAAAGATTTTAGTTTTTTTAGAGAGAGGGGAAGGGAGGAAGAAAGTGGGAGAGAAACACCCATCAGTTGCCTCTGCTGTGCACAGGGGACTGAGTCCGAAACCCAGGCACGTGCCCTGACTGGGAGATGAACTGGCAAACTTTTGCCTTGAGGGGTAATGCCCAACCAACTGACCCACGCTGGTTAGGGGTGAAATTTCTTTAATATGACTAGGCTGCAGCCTTTCTTGCAAGTCAGGTGATTTTCATTCGCTTTGAACAAAAAAAATTTTTTAAAGATTTTGTTTATTTATTTTTAGAGAGAAGGGAAGGAGAAAGAGGGAGAGAAACATCAATATGTGGTTGCCTCTTACATGCCCCCCACTGGGGACCTGGCCTGCAACCCAGGCACATGCCCTGATTGGGAATTGAACTGGCAACACTTTGGTTCCCAGCCCACGCTCAATCCACTGAGCTACACCAGCCAGGGCATGAACAAAAAAATTTTTTTAAATTACTGACAATAGATCTATGTGATTTTGGGCACATAACTTAGGTGTTCAAAGACTTGAGCAACACTGCTCTCACGAAACTGTTTGTGTTTCTTATTTATATGAACCAGGTTCTTCTCAGGGATCACATCTATAAAATCGATGCTGAGTCCTATCACATTATATCAGCAAATCATATTCACACATCTATAGACATGTGCTCAATGAAAAAACTAAGGCCATTTAGCTGCTCTCAGCGCAATTCCATGAAAAATTTATGTATAACTATGTATGAAATTAAATTCCTTTTATCAACTTAGCATCACCAATAACTTTAATAGTAATTCATTCCAGAAAAAAAATTTTATACACTTAGAGTGTTAGTCACAAGAAAAGTTTATTAAATTTTTATTTACATACTTTTGTCTGAGACATATGATAGGATGACCAATAAAAAATTATAGGACATATGGAAATGGAATGGAAGGAAAATGTAAAATTTTCAAATATTAAATAAACTTATTTATTTCAAATCCTGAAGGCATTTACATACCACTTCATACACTTACTAGTGATGTAACAGTTTTATTTCAAAAAGTCAATATTTAAGCCCTGTCCAGGTAGCTCAGCCGGTTAGAATGTTGTTCCAATATGCCAAAGTTCCAGGTTTGATCTCCCGTCGGGGCCCATACAAGAAGCAACCAAAGGCCCTGGCTGGTGTGACTCGGTGGATTGAGTCTTGGCCTGCAAACCAAAGGGTTGTGGGTTCAATTCCCAGTCAGGGCACATGCCTGGGTTATAGGCCAGGTTCCCAGTTGGGGGCACATGAGAGGCAACCACACATTGATGTTTCTCTCCCTCTGTTTCTGCCTCCCTTCCCCTTTCTCTAAAAATAAATAAATTTAAAAAATCTTTTAAAAAAGCAACCAATGAGTGCATAAATAAGTGGAACAACAAATTAATGTTTCCCTTTCTCACAAATCAATAAAAAAGGATAAAGTCAATATTTACAATGAGCCAGAAAATGTAATCTAAACTTTAAAATTATGACAAAAAATTTTAAATGTCAACTTTAAAAGCTGAAGTTTTCTTAGGGGGTCATGTGAGCCAAAAATGCAAAGACTGGCGTTTCAGGTGGTCAGCGCTGGAGGTAGCAATGGCTCTCACCGCTGACCCTCCAAAGGGGCCGCGCACTGCAGCCATCTCATCCACCACCTCTGCTCCGCCAGTCACCTATTCCCATTCGTGCTCAGTGGAGACGTATGGAAAGTTTGAGCGGGGAAGATCTTTAAGCCAGTCCATTTCTCAGTTTCACTGTGGTCGGCAGTTAGAGAGACAAGAGCAGAGCAAGGACGGTAGGCCAGATACAGGTCACCAGGAGGGAAAGCCCCAGGTGCCTAGCAACAGGCAAAACTGTGAAAGCACATACCTGGCCCCCAGGGTGACCTTTCCCCCTAGCATATTGCTGAGGCAGGAGACAGACAGGAAGGCGGAAACCCCAGAGGACACAGATCCTGTTCTAAGACTGGTTGTTCCTGCTTTCTGGAAAAGCGCTGAATTACGGTGACTCATGAATGTAGAGAAGATGCTACTTGACCCCTGCTTCACTGTAATAGCATCATAATAAATTAACATTGTGCGACCCCCTTCTCTGGTGGCCAATCAAGGAAGATCATGGGAGACCACATGGGCAGCAGCTTTAAAGTAATATAACTACTTGTACATGAGCGACAAAAGCCCACTTAAACTACCCAGGAAGGATCCACCCTGTAAGAATAGAATCCCTCCAGCCTCTGAGGTCAGTCCCTGCTCGGAGTTGGCCTGCTCCCACGTTCTGTGGATGCACTATCCTTTAATAAGTCTGCTGTCTCTCTCTCTCTCTCTGCTATAAACTTTCTGCGGGTTCTGTTCAACTCTTTGTCCGCAATCACCGAGAACCTGGTTACCTGTGCCTACCTGTGACATCGCTGGTCCTGCAGTTTACACCCCCTGACTTTTCATATTGCTGGTCACATGGTTCAGACCCTCCCCTAACCCTTCTTCCCCTGGCATGTCCCCAGCCATGCAGGTCAGACCCCTTAGATAGGAACACACAAGGAGGCCAGAGAACAGCCTACAGCAGTGAGACCCAGGACAGTGAGGTTCTGAACTGCATCATACACATCCAGGTCTCGGTTGTGTTTCAGCTCCAGACCTAGAAAAGCAGGAAACCAGACAAGCGACACCATGACTGCCTCAGGACCCCCTGTCCTGGCACCCACCAGTCAGTGGAGACAAGGATGCTGAAAGGACACACCTGGACACTGATGACTGTTGTACTGGCATCCTACCCGGGACCTCCCCTAAAATCTCCACCCTTAAAAGCCCTGGGGACGGAGCACCCAGGGCTCCCAGGAGAGTAAAAGGGTGCTGAGCTGGAGGTCTCCAAAACCTTCACTAACTCAGCTGGGGGAAGGGGAAGCAGAGTAGGGCTAAGAGTTACTTTGCATGTCTAAAGAACTTGGCCAGTGTTTCATTAATGCTGATAGATGCGCCTGCCTCCCTGGAAGCCAGGGAGATGGGTGTGGTGGTGGGGAGTGGTTCCTCGGTGGCTGCACCTGGGGGCGGCTTAGAGTCGGTTCCTACCTCACGGGAAAAGCCTGCCCAGACTAACAATGGCAGCCAACGAAGGCAGAAGAAACCAGAGTGCTGGCAGGTGTAACCCTTCACGGAAGGAGTCAGAAATGGAGTTCTGGTGGAAGATAGTGCTGGGATTTACACCCAAGTGTGGGGCAACCCTGCTCTCTTAGAGATACGGTGGTCTTAGCCCCGAAGCTTAGAGAGGAGCAGAAAAGCAGGATGTAGCAGCCATGCAGGGGTCTTGGACACGTGGTTTGCAGAGGATCCCCACCGACCCACCACAGGGAGGGGCCCGGCCAAGCACAGACGACTGGGAGGTGAACAGGAACCTGTCCAGCTCAGCTACAGACTTCTATTTCTTTTCCTGAGAGTCAGCACCCCTGACTGGCCTGGTTTGGCACAGGGAGGCAGGGCTGTGTGCATCTCTGGGCATTTCTTTTGTTTTTAAGGGAGTGGGGCTTAATGGAAAAGTTCCGCCATTATTTTAATTCTGTGTATGTTTTGAATAAATAGCTCCTTTCCTTTTCACGAGGCTCTGGCTTTGGGAGTCACAGGTTTTTTTTCCAGCAGCCCACAGTAGAACCCAGAGTGGTTCTGTTTCAGGACCACGTCTGTCTGTGCCTCCCCAACCCTAGGTGTGTTACCTTTACCTTCCTCTCTGCTACACGCCAAAGGCCTTTGTTTCCTGAGCTCATTCCTGCCACTGCTCACTCCTTCTACCTCTGTGACTTTCTACAGAAACTTTCTCTTACAGTCTGACTCAGTTCTGAATTCTTTCCCAGCTAGAACTCAGGTACTGAGGGTGATGGACTCAGGTCTGGTCTGACTCAATTGGTCTAACACCAGGTGCTGTTCTCACCTCCGCCAAGATTGCTACCTATGTGAACTTGGATCCCTAAGGTTCACTAGTCATAGTTCAACACAACATACAGTGTCACAAAATTCTACACTTACAAAATTGGTAAATAAATGGTCTGTCAGTGATCTCAACCTTGACCGTGTTAGGGGGCAGGGGCTTAACTCCCATGAGCATGGCGCAGACAGGCGGAGTTGCAGGTAACATGCAGCCGCCACCTTCTTGCTGGAAGAATATTGTCAATAGTTTTCAGAAGCTATTGATGATTTGAATGCTTATGTAACACCCACTAACTGCCTAAAAATTTTTAAAAATGCTTTTATACTTGCAAGATAGAAAAAAATGCAACTACCAGCCACAATCAGCTCAAAGGGCTGATAGTTTGTTGTAACATCTGGTACAGAAAGTATTTAGGAGGGGGAGTGGAATATACAGGGTTTTTTGTTGGGTTCTGAATTATACAGAAGTGACTGTATTCTTAGATTTTAGTTTTGAGTAGCTCTTTGATTTCTTGGGAGATTTTATCATACAATATGGTGTCATCCTATACTGACAAGGAGGAAAACTGCACTGGGAGGTGGGAGAAGTTACCGGCCTTCCTTTTGGAAGGACTCGCAACACAAAATAAACTTTGCCGTGGAAGAGGAGAGAGAAAGGCATACCCACCACCTGCCTAATGGCACGTGTAGAATCGGAGTGCCTTCTTCAGTGAGTGCCCACGTGCGAGTAAAGGAGAACATGTGCGGGGAACACCTGTGTTTTGCTACTCCTCCTTTACTCGGAGGCAGCATGCCATGTGCAGGTGTGGAAGTGTGTGTGCGTGCATCCTGTGCGCAGAGACTGCCGAGATGAAAGGACGTGCCACGGGCACAGACCTCCCAGGAAGGGTGGGACAGGGATGGAGGACTTCTGCACTGAGTCTTTTTTTGCATGTTGTGTTTGGTTTGGTTTCTCCATGCACTTTATTACCCTAAAAAAGAAAACACCCAAAACAAGGCAGCCCTGAAGGCGATCGCGGTGGCATGTTGTATGGGACAGCACTGCAAAACACACTCAGCATTCCACAACATTCTGCAGCACTTCCTTTTAGCCTCTATTACCCAAGACATTTTATCTGGCGAGAGTGCCACTCACACTGGCTCTCTGCTCCTTCACCACTTCCTCTGAGAAAGCTCATCCCTCACTGCTGTGGAAGTAGATCAACAGGCAAGAGGAATGAGCAGGCCCTGGCTGAAGGGTGGGGGTTGGGGGCCATCTTTTCCTAACCTGCTTTTCTTCTTTTTCTTTTACATCAATGTGTGGTTGCTTCTCACACTTTCCACACAGGGGACCTGGCCCACAACCCACACATGTGCCCTGCCTGGGAATCGAACCAGCAACTCTTTGGTTCACAGTCTGGACCTTAATCCACTGAGCCACACTAGCCAGGGCCTACCCTGCTTTTCCTGTCCTACTGGCTGGCTTCAAATCCAGGCCACCTTTGGGGACCAGCCTTGTAGCTCATCCTAGCTGCCCCCGAGTTACAGCCCTTGGTGAGCCATGCTCACAGTTTTTGCCAGGTCTGAGTGGCAGTTATTCACTGAATATTTTCTACAAATTGTCCAATTAAAAATCCATGAGTACAACTTACAGCATTTTGCTTATAAAATCAGAGGCGTCAAGGCATCAAGGTGTCGTGACTGAGCAAGGCCTTGAGAAGCAAATGTCTCTGTTCTACTGCTGCCTCTGCCGTTTCTAAATAACTGGGTCAAGCTACTTCTCTTGAATTCGGTTTCCCTCTGTATAAAGCGGGGATAATGAGGGTACCTATTACAAGGGGCTGGCTACTTGGGAGGAGGCAAGGAAATCAATCTCCCCTTCACAGGCCCTAAGGCATCACTCCTTCCTGCAGAGATGCAGTGGGTGTCTGGTCTGGGTGGGGGACAGGCCCCCCCTCAGCTGCCTGCTAGTGTGCTGTGGTGATGCCAGCCTGACTGTTCTGTCCAGGGGCTCACCAGGTGTGACCGCCCAACCTTCCCTGGGCCAGCAGTGGTCATACAGTCGGGTCGGGTTGGGAAGGGGTAGGGAGAAGCCCCAAGGGCCGGCCTAGTGGGCCAGGGAAGCCAAGAACTTGTTCTGAGGAGGCAGTAAAAGGTGGAACCACACATGGGCCACACTCCGAGTCCTCCTTCCCTAAATGCTCCTTTGTTCCACTGGACTTCACCTACAAAACAAAGACTCAGGGGTATAATTACTAAAAAATTCCTAGTGTAGAGCACTTCTCAGTGCCTGGCCCTGGGTGACCACACTGATTACACAGTGACTACACACAAAGAAGCCCATCCTGCTATCCCATAGTATTGTGAAGGTCCAATGAATTAATGTTAGAGATCTAAAACTAACATCTGGCACAATGTAAGTGTTGGCTATTATTCACAGCACTACCATAAATGAAAAACAAGTATTTTTCAAATACAGGGTGGGGCAAAAGTAGGTTTACAGCTGTATGTGAAAGTTTAATCATGCATTACTTATTAATTATTGTGTTACTTTCCATATGAACAACTGTAAACCTACCTTTCCCCACTCCTGTGTACATTTTTGTGCTAGGCACTGGCACATTCTATTTATCAGTGAATAAGTACATTTATTATTTGTTTACTACGTGCCATGAACTATCTGAGAGACCTCCCGAAGACCCTGAGTCCTGGCTCTCAGGACTGACTGCCAGCGGGTTGATGTACAGACACCCGGTGACATGTACACAGGTGGCAAGCTTGTGGGAACCAGGTATCTGTATTGAACAGGAGCTCTCATTACCTTCTAGATCTACTTTTTATTGCCAGAACCTCAAAAGAAGTCATATTTAGAAATTTACTCCACTTTTTTTAACCACTGAAATTTTCACAGTTCATTATTCTGGTGTCCGTGCTGACTTCTACAACAAATTTCCCAGTGGACAAGACAGAAGCAAGAAACCTTCGAGGCACACTAACGCTTCTTAGGGGGGGCACTGTCATCTTCGGTCAGCTCTGCTCCGCAGCACTTTCTATGAAGAAGAAAATGCTGTCACTGCACTATGCAATAGGTAGCCACTAGTCACATGTAGGCTAGAAAATCACCATTTAACGATTCCACTCTTCTTACAAATGTGCTGAAACTCTTTCTAGATGGCAAAGGGCTGTCAAGGACTGGAAGACATCATCGGGTCGCTCAAACAATACCGCCACTTTGCAGGCAGGGCGAAGTGTGATGCTGGGTCCAGCACACAGCTAGGCGGGTGGTGGCGGCGCTCCGAAGCTCAGACCTCACACCTGTACCCGCACCTCCTGCCTTCCACTTTGGTGCGGCGAGTCCTCCGGGACTGTAGAGGCGCTATCACACCCGCAGGTGTCAGGTGGGCTGGCATTTTGCGATTTACAACAGAGAACACTTCTGAATTCACTTAAGTATTTTTAAAACTTATACAGATAACCTAAGCTCAAATTCGTACATTTTCCTAAAGTTCTCCAATGAAAATAAGAACGCTGTCCGGGGAACGAAAGTGGGAGTCAACCCCCCCCCCCCCAAGCCAACATGCTCACTGGAGCGCGGCCACAGTGGGTACAGAAAAGAGAGGGCAAGTCAGGCGTGCGAACGCTTTGGTTTTTTACAACTCGCCTAACAGGGTCCGACCGTCCGGCTTCCACAGTCAAGGGCTACCGGTACCACTGGGAGCATCACGGAGCGCGCACGCCGGACCTACCTGTGCGCACAGCGCCCTCCGTCCCGTCCGCACCGCCTAGCCCCGCGGCTGCGCGCAGCGCGCCCCCGCAGCTGGCCGACAGGTTGCCTGTGGCCCGGCGCGCCAAGGTGAGGATGGGCGCGGACCAGCCCTCCGCCGCCGCCCGCCGCTTGGTCGCACTCTGCAGGTCCGCCGGGCCAGGCAGCTGGCTCCGGTCCACGATCTCAAACCCTTCTCCCGGCTCCGGCTCGGGCCCGCGCCCCGCCGGGCAGCCGTCGCCCCCGTCGGCGGCCATTTTGGCCGCGTCACGTGGCCCTGGCGACGGCGAGCTCGCGCCGACGGCGGCCGAGCTGCGTGCTCGCGGTCACACTTTCCTGCGGCTGGGTCGTTCTCTGTCCAGCACTATCCTTTCCCTCCCTCCTTGCACTCTAGGGCGGTTCGGGAAGGCACAGTCAGAACCCAAGCTGCGGGTTTCAGGGCGTCACCCTGGGCTTGCCTGCTCCCCCCTTTCAGGCGCGCCCAGCCCAGCCTGGAACCGAGCTCCACGGCCCCTTCTGTGACACTAGTTCCTCTTTTTAATTTCCATTTCCTATTTTACTTTTTCTACTTCGTCATTTTTCTGCGGCAGTTTTCAAGACAAGCCCTAAAAAGGTCAGGAAAGGAAATTCTGAGACTGGAGAGGCAGGAAAGAGTAGTTTCTAAAAATTAACCGAATAGCAGCAGTTTAGGAGGAAAGAGCATGCAGCAGAGGATTGGAAACCAGAAGGCCCGGATTCTTGCTCTTGAAACCGGGAAAGGGGCCCTGGGCTGCCTGTCACCTACCAGACCCAATACGCAGAGACAAGGATTGAATTTTTTTTAAAAGATTTTATTTATTTTTAGACAGAAGGGAAGGGAGGGAGAGAGGGAGAGAAGCATTAATGTGTGGTTGCCTCTCAAGCGCCCACTACTGGGGACCTGGCCCGTAACCCAGGCATGTGCCCTGACTGGCAATTAAACCGGGGACCATCTGGTTTGCAGGCCAGCACTCAAGCCACTAAGCCACAGCAGCCAGGGCTCTAGCCAGCCATTTTATAAGAGGGCAAAAGTGTAGGCGAGGGATTTGGAATCCAGGAAAGAGGCTAGTCAGATGAAAGCTGCAATCTGGCACCTTCCCTGACATGCTTTCACCCGGTCACTGGTCATTTTCTTCATCTGTGTCCTGTGTCCTGGGTGGTGGACAGTCCCTGTAACACAGTGGTTGGGATCCCACTTTGATGGCTTCTGGTCTCTTCTAAAGCACAAAGGTCAATTGCTTGTGGTCTCCTGGAGTCAGGGGTGGGTGCCATACCTGCAGTTCCTGAAACAATAGCTTTTCACATGCATTAACTACTAGGCTTATTAACTATGACCTAAAACTAAAACTTTTCTACTCTTCAATCCCCCATCATTATTAATTAGTTAAAAGTGACAATCACAGAACTTACCTCCTCATTCAACAAGGTTTTGCAGTAAGGAGCACAGGGCAGACGTTAGCAATTGTGATGACTGCTACCTAGCCGTGCTGCTTGAGCAAGGCACTCTACACTTGTGAGGAGTTACTGCCTCCTTCTGTCACTTGGGAAAGAAGGGGATTTGACAAAGTAGAAACCCAAACGTCACAGCATTTGACACTTTGTTCGCAAAGTACTTCATGAGGGCCTCATCAAACCAGAACTGTTTGGTTTGACTCCCAGAATGTTTAAAATTTAAATTCAGATTTTTTAGTTGTTGAGAGATACTGAGAAATCAAAAATATTTTGCATAAAACTCTGGACTTTGGCCTTCTCTTAAAACATCAGATTTGGCAACTCAGTGTTCCTGAGGGCAACAAACTGGTGGACGTCTAGGCACCTTGGTCCAGCCCCCTTCTCTAGTTTTCATGATCTGTCTGGTCCCCGAAGGCCCGTTGTTTTCGGTGGGTGGGGAGTGATTGAATAGAGAATGACTGAGGATTGCAGGGCACTGGGGTGTGAGGTCGTCTGTAACAGACAGGCTCCTGAAGGAGTCTCTCCAGGACAGTCACACAACGGAAAGCTTGTGTATAATGATCAGAGCCTGGAACCTAATTCATTCTGCGTAAAAACAAACTCTTTGGGGGGTAACAGTTTTAATGTGGTACCAAGCTGTGCTTCAGGAACAACCCCAAATCTCAGCAGCTTAACATAACAGGAGTACTTCACTTGCACAGTGGGGTTGCACCTGGGCTTTTGCAGGTCCCATCACTTGGAGCAGAGCTTTACATCAACACTAAATGCCCCAACCCTAAAGTGACAGATGCCACTCACACACGTTTCATTGGCCAAAGCAAGTCACCTGCCACCTCTAAGGTCACAGGAGTTAGAAAGTTCAATCCTACTAGGATCTGGGAAAAGGAGAAGTGGGAATATTGGCGAGAAGGATATTGACTACCATAAATGTACCCTGAATTTTACCAGAATGCAACTAAATTGATTTGTTCAGAAACTAAGAGTTATTCACCATTTCAGAACATCGCATTGCCCACAACAATGTTGGTTTTGGTACCTGAGATATTAAGACAGTGCCTGTGCTGCCACAGTCACAGGTGTTTTACACAAAGGTGCCAATGTTTGGTTACGGTACCTGTGTCGGTTGTTGCACCTCACTGACACACTGAAATGTATACAATAGACTCCTTTCCCATACTACAGTTAGGACACTAGTTGTTTGAAATTTTAAGTGTCGGTAGGCTGAGTGTCTATGATTTAATTTCAAATCATAAATGGGGCATTATAAAATATGTATTCCTGATAGGGTAGGCAATTGAGTGTGCTGGTTATAATCGTAAATTTCCTAGCAACACAACAGCAGTTTTAAGTGCTTTCAATTTTTACTTTACATGAGGTCAACTTTGGAGCAAACTTGGTAAGAGGGGTTTTGAGGGAGGAGGATGTGTGTGATTAAGTCAAAATAGTAACATTTAGAACACATCCTAACATATTTGTTATGTTATAATGTAAAGTTCCTCTCTGCAAGCATGTGACCCAATTCTCCCTTCATGACCCCACCCCAACCCCCACCTTTTCTTTAATACCATTGCCCTCTGTGTGGTTTGTCCCCTAGCTCTGCTGTCTGCTCGGGCCCTGTTTTTTGTGCCTTTTTCATCTGCCTGCCGCCTTCTCCTGAGTGTGAGCCCACCCTCAGCCCACCATCACTCTCACTTTTCTTTCCAGTCTTGTGGTGGGCTCTCACCACACTTGGACCCTGTCTCTCAAATCTGGCTCTGCCATTCTAGTCCCAGCTGCTCACGTGGATTCTCACCTGAGTTTTGCAATCCTCCTCCAGGATGTCTTCTTGTGTCCTGGGGCTTTTCCTTCTCTGTTTTGGACACCATAGCCCTTGGACTTCCTAAGGCTCAGGGCTGATCCTTGCACCCTCCTGCTTACAAATCTCCCTTTGCTTCCCCTTTGCAGGAGGCTTCTTCTTGTCTGCCTACTGCAGGTGCAGACCGCTCACCGGCTGCTCCATGTGGACTAGCAACGGAGTTATGCAGCACCTTGGGCTGGTTTGCTGATTTGCCTGAGCACAAAGCAATTCCCAAAAAGATCCTCCCAGCCTTGTTGGTTCTGTGAGTTGGCCCATCGGCTAAGAGTCCCTGGGGCCGTCCTTATTTCTTCTCACATGTACGAAGTGTACATTTTGGATGGCATTTTGTACTCTAGGAGATCCTTACAGTCTGGACATACTTGCTACTCTGGTGCCAGGAATGGCCATTTAAAGTCAAATCCTTTTTCTGAACAGTGCAATATAAAGCCTAAACCTGGCCACAAGTGCTGCCTGATAGACCCTCAGAGGTGATGGAATGTTCTAGGTTCGTGGACTGTATGGGGGCCACCAGCCAGAGGTGGCCACTGAGCACTTGCAGTGTGACTCATGACCCTGAGAAACAGAACATTTACTTTAATTAATTTGAATTAAAAGAGATCCATGTGGCCAGTGACTATTGTATTGCACAACACAGGTGTGGATCTAACTGCGAGGTTATAGGGGACATGGTAGAGAAAGGAAGGGAGGAAACTGCAAGACTCTGCCAGAAGGGGCAGTGTCCCTGGGGCCTGGCTGAAGAGGTAACCCCAGGATACCAGGCTTACCTGCTGGGAAAGGTGGGTATTTGCCAGTTGGTGAGCTCTGAATGTGGACTGGATACTAGGTGTTATGGGATTACCGTGTTAGGTATGATCATTGATTGTGGACGTGTAGGAGAGGCCTTATTTTTTAGAGCTGCATTAGAGTATCAAGTGGTAACCTGTCGTGACATCTGTACCTTATTCGAAAAACTTCAGCCCTGGCCAGTGTGGCTCAGTGGATTGAGTGCTGGCCTGCCAACTGAGGGGTCAATGGTTTGATTCCCAGTCAGGGCACATGCCCGGTCTGCAGGGCTGAGTCCCCAGTGGGTGTGCGTGTGAAAGGCAATTACGCATTGATGTTTTTCTCCCTCTCTTTAAAAAAAGGAGGGGAAAAAAGCAGCAAAAAAAAAATAGATGATGAAAATATGCCAAAAGTTTGACAGTTCTAAAGTCTAGTAACAAATATGTTATTACAGATTCTTCATTCCCCTCCACCCTGCACACCCCCTCTCCCACCATTCCCCCCTTTAGTTTATGACCATGTGTCTCAAGTTCTTTAGATTCTATATTTCCCATACTATTCTTGCCCTCCCCCCATCTATTTTCTACCTACCGTCTATGCTACTTATTCTCTGTACCTTCTCCCTCTTTCTCCTCCTCCCACTCCCCTGTTGCTAACCCTCCATGTGATCTCCATTTCTATGGTTCCGCTCCTGATTTAGCTGTCTTCTTAGTTTGCTTTTGTTTTAGGTGTAGTTGTTAATAACTGTGAGTTTGCTGTCCTTTCACTGTTCATATTTTTTATCTTCTTTTTCTTAGATAAGTCCCTTTAACATTTCATATAATAAGGGCTTGGTAATGATGAACTCCTTGAATTTGATCTTATCTGAGAAGCACTTTATCTGCCCTTCCATTCTAAATGAAAGCTTTGCTGGATAGAGCAATCTTGGATGTAGGTCTTTGGATGTCATGACTTGGATACCTCTTTCCAGCCCCTTCTTGCCTGTAAGGTCTCTTTTGAGAAATCCGCTGACAGTCTGATGGGAACTCCTTTGTAGGTGATTGTCCCCTTATCTCTTGCTGCTTCTAGGATTCTCTCCTTCATTTTAATCTTGAGTAATGTAATGATGATGTGCCTTGGTGTGTTCCTTCTTGGGTCCAACTTCTTTGGGACTCTCTGAGCTTCCTGGATTTCCTGGAGGTCTATTGCCTTTGCCAGATTGGGGAAGTTCTCTTTTATTATTTGTTCAAATAAGTTTTCCACTTGCTCTTTCTCTTCCCCTTCTGGTACCCCCATAATTTGGATGTTGGAGCGTCTAAAGATGTCCTGGAGGTTCCTAAGCCTCTGCTCATTTTTTTGAATTCTTGTTTCTTCATCCTTTTCTGTTTGGTCATTTTTTTCTTCCTTCTGGTCCACTCCCTTGATTTGAGTCCCA